CTAGAGTTCTTGAATTTCTTGTTTCCTGTTCTTCAGCACCTGTTTAGAAGTACATTAGGCATTATTTCTAATTCTTTACTCATATCAACTCAAGTTTCAAAACAATCCTCTGATGTATTTCCATTTACATCACACTTTTTTCACATCACAATTTTATTTTTTGCAAGTCATGGTGCCTGAACTCTGGGCCTGGGCACTGTCCCTCAGCTCTTAGCTCAAGGCTAGTGCTCTACCACTTGAGCCACAGCACCACTTCCAGCTTTTTCTGCTTATGTGGTACTGAGGAATTGAACCCAGGGCCTCATGCATGCGAGGCAAGTACTCTACCACTGAGCTACCTTCCCAGCCCTTCACATCACAATTTTAATAGTTGAGAAATTGAGGAAGATTATGTTCTAGTCTAATACAAGTACTTAAATATCAGAGTAAGGACTCCACACAGGCAGTCAAGACAATACCTTATCCCTAGTCTGCTTGGCATATGACCATTTTCTTAAGTTTATTTTGTATCTTTTTTTTTTTTTTTGGGTCTGTAGTGGGGCCTGAACTCTGGGCCTGGGCACTGTCCCTCAGCTCTTCAGCTCAAGGTTAGTGCTCTACTGCTTGAGCCACAACACCACTTCTGATTTTTTCTGCTTATGTGGTGCTGAGGAATTGAACCCAGGGTCTCATGCATGCAAGGCAAGCACTCTACCACTGAGCCACATTCCCAGCACTTATTTTGTATATTTAACAACCCAAAGTGAAACAGGTTACATTTCTGGTCCCTTGCTCTGCAGCCACAATGCCTAGGCTAGAATCTTGGCACTCACCACTTGCTGGGCTAAATTTACTTCAGGAAAAAAATGCCTGTGTCCCTATGTTCTTATCAGTGAAAAGAGGGCAGTAAGAGTACCTTTTGCAAGCATTGCTGTAAGGCAAAACTATTTCTGGATATTGTATGTGATAGGCACTTCTCCTTCATTGATCTTTTACCCAGGATAAGAGGAAAATGAAGTGGTCTACATAAATTACTTTTTTGAAAGTAATGCCATTCTCTTTATTCATAGAGAAACATTCTCCAAAGATGTATTGTCTTTAAAAATGGGTACTGCAGCTCTAATGAGTATCTGCTTTATAATGGGAACCACAGACTTGCTATCTACCACCTTTAATCCTCAGCTCTGTGAAGCAAGTTTTACTGTGACTAAGCCACCCAGCTAGGAAATGGTAGCCCAGAAAATTCTTTTTTTTCTTTTTTGGTGCCAGTCTTGGGGCTTGAACTCAAGGTCTGGGCACTATCCCTGAGCCATTTTTTCCCTCAAGGCTAGTGCTCTACCACTTGAGCCACAGCTCCATTTCTGGCTTTTTGGTGATTAGTCTCATGGACCTTCCTTCCTTCCCTGGTTGGCTTTGAAACCATGATTCTGAGATCTCAGCCTCCTGAGCGCTAGGGTTACAGGCAGAGCTACTAGTGCTTGGCTTTCTTCTTTTCCTTTCTTTTTTCATTCTCCCCTTCCTTCCCCTTTTCTCATTCATTCATTCATTCATTCACTGATGTGTGGTCTTACATGTTGCCCAAGCTCATCTCAAACTCAAATGATCCTCCTGCATCAATTTCCCCAGGAGCTAGGACTATAAGCACATGCCACCGCAACCATCTAAAAAATCTTTTGTATCATTCAACTGGATATCTAATCACAGGACCTGATTGTTTTTTGTTTGAAAAGATTTAAAAAATCAGTGACCTTCAGACATTTTGTCGTGATTCAGTATATATCCAACAACAAACTATTTCATGAATTTTGAAATGACACATACTGAGAAGTTTACATCCAAGTCAAAGATATGCAAAGCCACCTCAAAGAGACATACAGCTATATAAACCAGTCCAACGAGACTCTAACCTGATTAAATACATCAATCTAACAAAACGTGCCCACAGTCCAGGCAGCCCTGACTGCTGAAACCACGATGAGCTTCAGAAGCCTGAGGCAGAAGGAATCCAAACACTAATAAGGAAGAGGGAGTCATTTCAACCTACCGTGGGCACTTCAAAGGCCTGTAACAACTTTTTACTGGAAAGTGACATTCTGATCTACATTAATCTCTGTGAACTTGCTTAATGACAGTTGTCTTTTTGTTGATGGAAATCAAGTTTCTAAACTAAGGTTAGCCCTTGGACTAGGCTGAATGCACTAAAGTGATGAATGTCTCTTAAAGGAGGTATCTTGGGAGACTGCTGGCCTTTTCACACACATCAACCACAGTGGTTGTGATAGCTGAACACACATTTTTAACAGTCACCATGCATGCAAATTTTACTAATGCTTGTAACAGGAGAATACTGTGTCCTGGAGAAATCTATGGGGGAACATTTCTCAATCCTTTCAACTAGAGACATTCCTATTCTCTCCCTCTTCTGGGTGACCCAGCACCCCAATGGTAATTTTCAGTATGTCATGTTGCACACCTAAGTTTAGGTCAATATCTTTTTCTTTGACTATACTACTACTGATGACAAGGCACTCATATGTTGAATTCTAAGACCCAGGTCTGGCACACAATAGGCCTTAGCAAAGGTTAACCTAACGACCATGATTTTCTCCCTGTGCATTTATAACTTTAGATAATACAAGCTTTCTGAGAGTAACAAGTACATTGTAGATCCATGCATGTGAAAGGTGTATGGTGTGTATTTGTGTTGGTCCTGGGTGCTGTCCCTGAGTTCTTTCACTCAAGGCTAGCACTGTACCATTGAACTACAGTGCCACTTCCGGTTTTCTGGTAGTTAACTGGGCTGGCTTTGAACTGTAATCTTCAGATTTCAACCTCCTGAGTAGTTAGGATTACAGGCATGAGCCACCAGTACCCTGTTCTCTTTTATTCTTTTAAAACTCTTTTCCTAGGCCACTATCACCTTGGAACTTCTTAGGAAAGTAAATTCTTGGGTCACACTCTAGATCTAAAGAATCAGAAACAAGTGAGGGAAGGGGTGACATTGTCCAATAAGAAATGTACTCCTGGGGCTGGGAAGGTGGCTCAGTGGTAGAGCGCTTGCCTTGTATGCATGAGGCCCTGGGTTCGATTCCTCAGCACCACATAAGCAAAAAGAAAAAAGCAGGAAGTGGCGCTGTGGCTCAAGTGGTAGAGAGCTAGATTTGAGCTGAAGAGCTGAGGGACAGCACCTAGACCCAGAGTTCAGGCCCCACGACCGGATCCAAAAAAAAAAAAAAAAAAGAAATGTACTCTTAACCTGACCTATGTAATAGTAACTCCTTTTGTACATCACTTTTTTGTTGTTGTTGTTGGTCACAGGGCTTGAACTTGGGGCCTGGGTGCTGTCCCTCATCTATTTAGCTCAAGGCAAGTGTTCTATCAGTTGAGCCACAGTGCCTCTTCCAGTTTTCTGGTGGTTAATTGGAGATAAGAGTCTCATGGACTTTCCTGCCTGGGCTGGCTTTGAACGGCAAGCCTCAGATCTCAGCCTCCTGAGTAGTTAGGATTATAGGTGTGAGCCACCAGCTCCTGACTAAACATCACCTTTTACACTAACAATAAAAAATTAAAAAAAATCAGAAACTCCGGAAGTGAGGCTTAGCAATCTGTATTTTTAGTAAATCTACCAAATGATCCTATTTGCTAAAATTTGAGAACTATTCCTTTCTTCCTATCATCTACACCTATGTAGACCCTAAGACCTAGTCTAAATCACTCTCAAACCACTCCCATTCTCTCAGATTTGGCCATAATTACATTTTAAGTTATTATATGTCAAATGAAGACTCCAACAGTTTTCCACCTGCAATCCCTGCTTTATCTACTTTTTTCTCCAACCCCCGCCCCCAATATGCCAAAATATCACAAGATCCTTCTTATACACAAACATTAACAACTCATTCTTTCACTCATAGCCTAAATTCTGGTTCCACCAAGTTACTTAAAACTAAACTTAGTTTTTGGGCTGGGAAGGTGGCTCAGTGGTAGAGTGCTTGCTTTGCATGCATGAGGCCCTGGGTTCAATTCCTCAGCACCACATAAGCAGAAAAAGCTGGAAGTGGTGCTGTGGCTTCAGTGGTAGAGCGCTAGCCTTGAGCTGAAGAGCTGAGGGACAGCGCCCAGGCCCAGAGTTCAGGCCTCATGACCAGCAAAAAAAAAAAAAAAAAAAAAAAACCAAAAAACTAAACTTAGTTTTTGTCTTTTTTGTTTTTGTTGTTGTTGGTTGTGGGGCTTGAACTCCAGGCCTGCACACTGTCCCTGAGCTCTTCAGCTCAAGGCAAGCTCTCTACCACTTGAGCCACAGTGCCACTTTCTGGTTTTCTGCTGGTTAATTGAAGATAAGGGTCTCATGGACTTTCCTGCCTGGGCTGGCTTTGAACTGCGATTCTCAGATCTCAGCTTCCTGAGTAACAAGGATTACAGGGGTGAGCCACCGGCGACTGGCTCTCCCTCCTTTTTTATGTCTTCTTTTCATAGCCTTGTCAATACTGATGGAGAACTTTTCAATTTTGCTAGCCATATATATATTTTTTTATCTTTACAATTTAAAATTTTTATTTATTTAATAAAAGGATGGCCTTTTCTGTCATGTACTTATAGGACAATATTAATAACTAGCTGAATTTCCTCTTTCAGCAACTCATAAGCATAGGATAGTGAATTAGAGGGTTTTAAAAGGTATTACACACAGCTGGGCTGTTGTTGGCTCATGTCTGTAATCCTCGCTACTCAGGAGGCTGAAACCTGAGGATTATAGTTCAAAGCCAGCCATAAGAGTCTGTGAGACTCTCATCTCCAATTACCCAGCAAAAAGTCAGAAGTAGAGATGTGTCTCAAGCGGCAGAACACTAGCTTTGAGCAAAACAGCTCAGAAACAGTACAGAGGTCCTGAGTTCAAGCCCCACCACCAGCACAAAAAACAAAAAACCCCCCAAGCCCCATACAAAACCACCTATGTTTAGAGTACTGTCTCTGTGCATATACATTTCCTTTCTTTCACAAAACAGGACCCAAAAAAACCCTAAAAATGATAGTGCATATTTATTGAGTGTATATCCAATGTAAGATATTCTCTGAAATTCTTTACACATATTAGTGTAGACTGACTGTACATTTACCTTTCCTCACTCATATAGTACACATAGAGAACTGTGCAAAGATCCAATGTAAACTGGATAATGGATAGAATGCTTTATTATATAAAGTTTATAACTCTCATAATTATAGCCTAAATATACTACAGGAGTTTGAAATATAAGAGAAAATTCTATGAACTAGTATGTAGAAGACAGTTAAAAGTTTGTAAGCAATGTCACTTACATCTTGGTATTACTTATTTGTTCTTTTCAAGCACAGGCCCTGGAGCCAGGGTCAACACCATAATATACCACAAATGACTTAACACATCCATCCTGCACAGTCAGCATGGAGATACAGATATATTTATATAATACATACTTTAATATTATATTGGTCCACTTAGTATGCATATTTTAACAAATGATAAGAATCTATATAATCCAGTTAAACACACATAAGATTAGGATACAATTATTACATTGGAAGTTGGTGTTTATAAGTTACAGATATTTACTATTTTCCAGAGTGCTTTTTTAATTAAAAAATATTTTAAAAGCATTTCAAACATTTGTTCATTTTTCCCAGTGCAAAAGAAGGTTGTTCAAGTCAACTTACCTTTTTCCTGAAGAGTAAAGGGGAAGGAAAAAGAAACCCCAAAAACCACACTCATCACATCTCTCCATACTACCTTCTCAATCAACTTTTGCAGTAAATCCATATCACTGTATTAGTTTATCAAAGTTATAGCCTTGTGATTACTATTCAGCCCTTGCTTCGTATGTATCACATTTATGCTGAAATGTTTCTATTTACATAAGTAGAAAAAAGTTAGCAGTGCAAGAAAGTGATTTAAATTTTGTTTTAAACCCCAGTTGTCCAATAGTGTGTGGAAAGAAAAAAAGCACCATTTCAAGATGAAATGTATTAGGTATTTTGGAATTTATTTATAGGCCAAGTAAGTTATTCTGATTAATATATATCAATACTTCTTTCACTTGGTGATCCCAGAGGATTTTAGTTAAGTTTTCAGGTGCATTTTTCTTTGTCTTGCTATTCAATACACTAAATCAGTAATGCAGGTTAAAAAAAGATTATAAATTACAGCCTCCTTCACTCTATTTCAAATTCAGCTTGTCTACTAGGTCACTTTTATAGAAAATGAGGTTTTAATACAAGCAGAGTACTTTTTATAATCCCTCAATTAAAAATATTTTTTTGTTAGTTTGCCAATTTTATAGGTGAAAAACATGAAGAGAGTAGATGAAACTAAACCACAAGGTACACAAAATACAATATAATACATGCCACTTTCCCCATTTATATTAAGTGGAAGTTTTTTCAAGTAGCTGAGCCTTCATTAAGGAAAACAAAACAAAACAAATATATATGAAAAAATGAAGTACCTTCCAGTTCCAGCTTTCTAGAATTTCTTGTGCAAAGTTCAAGAACAAACTTATCATGAGCTAGAGAACACAGTTCAAGAATAAGGGCTGCATGTTAAGATTTCTGCTTACACATACTGATGGTGTATTTTAAGAGACAAATTTTCTCCACTGTCAGGCATGTAAAATGAACATTTCCCTGTAAATTGTTCTCATAAGAAACTGATTTTGTTAATTAGCACACATACAGAGAGGTATCAGTTGATCTAAAATTCTTTAAGTCTAGAGAAAATTGTTTTCAAAAATGTATTTCATATATGTGGCTTTAATGTTTTCATTTAGTGAAAATGTGAGTCTCAAGCTATAATGGTTCAAACTAATGCAACCCCTTTCCAATACTGGAGTTAAACAATGCAAAACATATTGTCTTTCTTATCTTTAAAAACCCCAATTAAACGGCACTTTTACTATAAGGAAATAAAAAATGTATTTTGGGCAATTTGCACCAATCATAAAAGAAATAGGATCTTCTTTCCCTTCCCCTCCAACCATTTAAATCCAGGAAAAATACTGAAAACATTAAGATATCTTCTGGCTATCATCAGAATAACTATAGAACAAGGGTAGCATAGGGTTAAACTATTTCTCTATGTTCCAGAAAGTAGAAGGTTGGGTGTTCTAGCTTTATAAGTAAAAGTAGCACAGGCAGTCAAAAGCTCACAATAAATGCACACCAGAACAGGGGTCTAGGTGAAGCTGTCTGATTAGGTTACTGCTTTTGATGGAAAAAGTAAAATAAAAGACAGATGTGAAATATAGAAGAAAGAAAAAGTAGACTTTTGTCACATTTACAGGATTCTCAAAACCTTTGTATTCCCATGCTCATAGGTAGTTTTGATACACATGGTAAATAGTTTCAGTATTCAAGAAGAAGAAAAGTGTGTTGTTGACAAAAGACAAGAGAATTCTTCATGCTTCTGATATTTCGGATTTGCTGAGTGCAATAGCCAGTTCTAAGTCTTCTTGCTCTTGCTGATTCAGCCGGGCAAGCCTCTGCTCTTCTTCTCTCTCACTTTCCCTCTTGGCCCATTCAATCATATCTTCTTCAGAGGGATACTGTCATTTAAAAGATCAAATGAATGAACAAATGAACATATAGATAAGTAAAACAAATACAAAGAAGGAAAAAGTTTTTGAAAAAGAGCTTTAACTACTTAGTCCACCTGAAAGACGCTAGAAATAATCGTAACTTTTTTCACTTTTTCTGAAAGCACATTTTTAGTTTTAACAACTTATTAAGCTATGGTTTAACTTAAAAGATTAATGCAGTCTATGGATACAAAGCCTATGAAAGTAAACATTTAAAAATAATCACCTAAGGCAGAAATGAAGTTGGGAGTAGTAATGCATGCTTGTTATCCTAGTACTTGGGAGGCTGAGGCAGGAGGACTGCAATTCAGAGGCTAGCTTGGACTACATAGTAAGACCTTAGCAAAAGTAGAAGAGCTTGATGTAGAATAGCACACTTAAAAAGAGAAGAGGTGGGGCTAGGAAGGTGGCTCAGTGGTAGAGCTCTTGCCTTGCATGCATGAGGCCCTGGGTTCGATTCCTCAGCACCACATAAGCAGGGAAAAGAAAGCCGGAAGTGGTGCTGTGGCCCAAATGGTAGAGTGCTAGCCTTGAGCTGAAGAGCTGAGAGACAGCGCCCAGGCCCAGAGTTCAAACCCCACAACCGACCAAAAAAAAAAAAAAAAGAGAAGAGTTAGCCTTTTGATCTAGTGTAAAACATTTTAGTGATCATCCCACATAATAAATCATTTTAAGGGCTGGGAAGGTGGCTCAGTGGTAGAGTGCTTGCCTTGCATGCATGAGGCCCTGTGTTCGATTCCTCAGCACCACATAAGCAAAAAGAAAAAAAAGCCGGAAGTGGCACTGTGGCTCAAGTGGTAGAGCGCTAGCCTTGAGCTGAAGAGCTGAGGGACAGCGCCCGGCCCAGAGTTCAGGCTCCACAACCGGACCCCTCCCCCCAAAATAAATCATTTAAAAATTAATTCCATTGGTGACTTTTTTTATCTTATTTTAGATCTTCAAAGTTCAGAAAAACTCTGAAGCAAAAATGGGCTGATTTTGATATACATAATAAAAGACCATTAGGTATACTGGACAAGATATGAAGGCTTAGAGAAATTTTTTGATCTACTTTAAACAAGATAACACTAGTGATTATTCGATGGTGAAATTTTTTTTTTTTTTTCCAGGGCTGAGAACCAAACCCAGGGCCTTGCGCGTGCCAGGCAGGCGCCCTTCCGCTGACCCCCAGCTCCTGGTGAAATATTTTTATTCACATCAAACTGCAACTTTGGCAGAAACGAAATTCATAATTCTACTTGGTTTCACTTATAGGAAATAAGAGAAATTGTCAGGCTTTGTAAAGATAGTAATTTTTAATCCTAAGGAATTAGAGGTCTTAAGTTCCCGATGAAATTTAAAATAATGAAAAAAATGGAGTATTTATATTTATATTATAAATTACACATATTATATTATGAGATTCTAGAGTATGAAATAAGCAAAAATGCATCAACTATTGTTCAAGACTCACTCCAATCAAATTTTGACTTGCTCCCCTCTGTATATCACTTTTATAATAATAAAAAAAATTAAAAATTGACTTGCTACAATCATACTTGAGATATTATATTTTCCTATTTTCTGTCTTTTTTTGAGATACTGGAGTTTGATTCTAGGCCACATGCTTACTTAGCTGGTGCTCTACCACTTGAGCCATGCCTCCAGCCCTGCTCTTTACTGGCTATTATAGGTGTGATCCATTGGCACCTGATGCCAGTTCTTGATTCTCTACTTGAAACCACTTAAGTTTCATTTGAATTGAAACTAGTTAGTATAGATCTGATACTCCATTTTTATATCCAAACTATGTATTTCTTTTTCTTTTCTCTTATCTGAATTGTATTCTAATTTGCACCTTCCCATTCAAAGAGTAGCCACTGGAATTTAAGAGTATATATTCAAAGGCTGGTACTAACAGCTGCCTTACATGCATGCAGATTCCTGCCTATCTGCTTTCTAACCAGAAATAGTGGCATGGACAGTGCCACTAGTTGAGTGACCCAAGGTGATACAGAGGAGGAAAACATTAGACAGGTTGCAGTCAAAAAACACGTGGCTACTACATTTCCTATTTCTCAAATCGAGGGTATGAGGTAATAAACAGGAAACTCCTGTGTTACAGACAGAATAAGTGGTGATGTCATTTTGCCTGAAAAAAAATTCTGAGCAAGGGGTTGGGAAGGTGGCTCAGTGGTAGAGTGCTTGCCTTGCATGCATGAGGCCCTGGGTTCGATTCTTCAGCACCACATAAGCAGAGAAAGCCGGAAGTGGTGCTGTGGCTCTAGTGGTAAAGTGCTAGTCTTGAGCTGAAGAGCTGAGGGACAGTGCCCAGGACCAGAGTTCAGGCCCCACGACCAGCCAAAAAAAAAAGGAGGACAGTTTTATCTAATGATGGGTGATGATGCCTCCACAGTGGTTGCCCCATTTCTATACCTTTCTTAAGGGCCCTGAGCTACGCTTATATCACAGCATCTTTCCATGGGTTTCTAATGTTTTTTCTATTTTAGAAAATGCTGAGTAAATATGGGTTACTGGTGAACTACAGTCCTCTAGATAAAGTTTGTTCAGATCTTGATAATAGCTAATACACTGTCAGTGTAGCACTTTTGAAAAGTTACTATGGAGTGGAGGTGTAGCTCAATGGTACAACCAGCATAGAATTGTGTGAGGAACTAGGTTCCATCACCAGCACCAAAAAACAAAAACAAAAAGTATTTACTGTATGAATGTAGTGAACAGAGTTCTGCTTTCTACTCAAAAAATTCCTGGGCCCATCTTATCAGACAGTAGTTGCTGATTGGTCTTTAGAAATCATGAAAACTTTATACACAAACACACATATACAGCTAACAAATATACAAGCTCATTACTGGCATGATATTCATCCAGTGGGAAAATAGAAAAATCACCATCACACTTAACTACCTGCAAAATAATGACTGTCAAGATTTATAATTTTTATTACCAAGACTAACAGATGAGTTTACAAAACAACTTGTATATATCCTAAGAACTAAGGCTACTGAAACCATTTGTACAATGGAAGGATTTTAGAACCATCGAAATAGAATCAAACAGAGGTTTTGCTTGGGGGAAAAATGAAAGAGATAAATTTAATTGAAATGATAAAAATTTGGCAGAATCTAAAATAATCTTTGAAAACTCTGGACTACGAATGGAAAGATTTTTCCCCCAAACAGCCCATTCACAGTACTTACAGCACTGAAGTTAGCAAAATTGCTTGGGTCAGCCTCTTTATTGGTAGTGGTAGTAGTAGAAGTGAATGGATCAGAATACATATCAGGATCTTTTTCTTTGGGGCTATCATTGCCTTGGAAAGGCTGAAATGGATCATTCAGTTTAAAGGGATCAGAAGATTCCAATTTGTTGATGGGTCTTTTTCCTGGATCAAAATCATTACAATTAACTCAACCAGTAAATATGACAAACACAAGCCCACAAGAACATAACACAGGGAACATTACAGAATTGAGGGTAGATGGGGTGAGAACTTAAAACATGGATTTTTTTTGTAGTTTTCTTATACATTCTTAATTCTGTCTTAAATGGCCATATCAACCATTCCTCACAATTTTCACACATAATCTCTCAAATACATTCCAGCTAGGAGCAACAAAGTGAATATAAAAGCAAAGGGAATAGGCCAAGAATCACATTTTAAAAAGAAAGAATAATCCCCTCCTCTCTCAAGGCAATATGTTACCAAGAATTAAAGAAGGAAAAGGATGAAACAGGAGGAAGATTATAGCAATGGCCTCTGCAGTTATAAACTCATCCTCATACTTAAGGAAATCACTCTAACTAGTGGCAATACCAATAAACAGTCCTTTTAAAATGGCAAAGTTGCCAGGCGCTGGTGGCTCATGCCTGTAATCCTAGCTACTTGGGAGGCTGAGATCTGAGGATCATGATTCAAAGCCAGATCAGGCAGGAAAGTCCATGAGACTTTTTTTTTTTGGAGGGGGGTGGGGCGGTGGTTGTGGTACTTGAACTCTGGACCTGGGTGCTGTCCATGAGCTCTTCAGCCTAAGGCTAGCACTCTACCACTTGAGCCATAGCACCACTTCTGGCTTTTTCTGCTTATGTGGTGCTGAGGAATCGAACCCAGGGCCTCATGCATGCAAGGCAAGCACTCTACCACTGAGCTACCTTCCCAGCCCTCCATGAGACTCTTATCTCCAATAAATCACTCAGAAAACCGCAAGTGGAGCTGTGGCTCAAGTGATAGAGTGCTTGTCTTGAGCTGAAGAGCTGAGGGACAGTGCCCCATGACCAACCCCCCCCCCCAAAAAAAAGGGCAAAGTTATTCTGATTTTCTGATATTCATAATCCCCAGTAGCATAAAATTACAAATTACCCTGACAAAACTTCCCCTACCTTTTGCCATCTACATCTCAATCTGTGTGACTGATATGTTTAAGCCTAATGCCTATCTATTTGTGGGTACTGATAAATTATTCTTTGACCAGTGTATTACCTGTTGGTAACACTATCATTTCCAAACAAATACTTTAATTTTAAAGTATTACTTAAAGTTATTACTTCTTGAAGAAAAGATAGTAAAAGTGGAGGTTAAAATATCTTCAAGGCCAGGCGCTGGTGGCTCACGCCTGTAATCCTAGCTGCTCAGGAAGCTGAGATCTGAGGATCGCGGTCAAAGCCAGCCTGGGCAAGTAGAGCAGTGGCTCAAAGTGGTAGAGCACTCGCCTTGAGTGAAAAAGCTCAGGGACAGCGCCCAGGCCTCCACAACAGACAAAAAATAAACAACAACCTGCAAATGCCCTTTTTGGAAAATGCTGTAAGAGCTGGTAACAGCAATAGTAGTAGTTATTTTTCATCACTGAAGCAGCTTACAAAACACGCTTACAGCTCCTATCTCAATACATCGTTCCAACAGTCCTGTGAAGGTAGGTAAAATTAAAATTAATACTATTTAACAACTGAGGCAGCCAAAGCTTAGATATGAAATTAATTAAGTTCATGGAGCAAAATTTGAGGTATAGCTCAGTGGTAGAGCATTTGCCTCCTATGCATGAAGCCCTGGGTTCAATTTCCAGTACCATGATAAAAGAAAAAAACAGCGACAAAGGAAAGCATGGGCTATCCAGAATTAACTCAGAGGTTTAGGCTCCCATGCAAGGCTCTTTTCAACAAACCATCCTTTTTCCACTCTATCTTTCTACAATTTTGTATATTCACCTCATGCTTGTCAGGTAGGTGCTTTATCCTTTGAACCATGGCCACAGCTAATTTTTTACTTTAAGGCTATTTTTCAAATAAGGTCTCACTTTTTGCCCAGGCTCAATGTCAGACTACTATTCTCCTACGTCTGCCTTCTGCATAGCTGGGATGACAAGAATGCACTACCCCACATGGCTTGCTTAATTAATATGGAGTCTTGCTAACTTTTCTGCCTAGACTGGTCTTGAACCATAATCCTCCCAGTCTCTATGTCTTGAGTAGCTAAGATTATAGGCATGAACCACTGTGTCTGGCCTGGATTCTTAGTTTTAATTAAAGCACAGAGTATATTACCTTACTTAGAATTTAAAAAATAATTCCATTGTTAGCATCACACGGCTGTATAAACTTAAATGAGAATACTATTATTCATTTTTTCTTTCTTTCTGTCAGTTGTGGGACTTGAACTCAGGGCCTGGACACTGTCCCTGATTCTCTTTGTACTCAAGGTTAGTTAGTTCTACCACTTGAGCCACAGCACCACTTCTGGTTTTTGAGTGATTAATTGGAGATAAGAGTCTCATGGGGACTTTTCTGCCTGGGCTGGCAGATTTCAGTCTCCTGAGCTGGGATTACAAGTTGTGAGCCACTGGTGCATGGCTTTTCATATATTTTGACCATCTTAATATGTTACTTTTACTGAAAAGAAATCATTTAACTCATTTACCTGATTTTTCAGCAGATAATTTGAGTATTAATAACTGTATATCCAATCCTTTAAGTCAAAGAACAATCTGCTCCTGGGTTGGGAAGTTGGCTCAGTGGTAGAGCGCTTGCCTTGCATGCCTGAGGCCCTGGGTTCCATTCTTCAGCACCACATAAGCAAAAAGAAAAAAGCCGGAAGTGGTGCTGTGGCTCAAGTGGTAGAGCACTAGCCTTGAGCTGAAGAGCTGAGGGACAGTGCCCAGGCCCAGAGTTCAGGCCCCATGACTGGACCCAAAAAAAAAAAAAAAAGAAAAAGAGCAATCTGCTCCATAGGAGAAGCTATTGTGAAAAGGCAAGAATGATAACCTACTGGGGCTGAATTTTACCAAAGAATGATATATGACTAAACAACTAATGTGCCAAATATATCTTCTCATTAAGCAGCTTAGCAACAGTACAAGTATTTAGGGCAATTACCTTTTCATGACTTGTCATGAAACAACCCATTCCCTTTTACAGTGTTAAACATACAAATACTAAATAAAAAAGAAAATGAAGCTATGAAGAATATGTTCCTGAACCAGGTGCTGGTGGTTCATGCCTGTAATCCTAAATTAGAAAGAGACCTGGAGAGAATTTCAGTTCAAAGACAGCCCAGGTAGAAAAGGCTATAAGACTCTATTTCCAATTAGCAGCAAAATGCAGACTGGAGGTGTGGCTCAAGTTGTAGAGCATTATCATGCATGAACAAACCAACTAAGTATGAGGATCTCAGTTGAGGGATACTGATACTGGACCCAAACTATTTTTTAATTGCCATTATAAAACACAGAAGTGAAAAAAAAATTCCTTCAAGAAGGGCAACACACTTTTAAACTATACTGCTGAAAACCAGAAGCTTTATTTTCTCACATTAAAGTATTTAAAGAAGACTGAATTTTGTAGGAAAAGGAGACATCAAATTAACTTTCTCTTCTAAAAATTAAAACAATAATACAGGAAACTGGTATACAAATGATAATTGGTACACTTTCAAAAACCAAGAGATTAGCCAGGCACTGATGGCTCATGCCTGTAGTCATAACTACTCAGAAGGCTGAGATCTGAGGATCATGGTTTGACGCCAGAATAGGAAAGGCTGTGAGACGCTTATCTCCAATTAACCACAGAAATTTGGAAGTAGAGCTGTGGCTCAAGTGGTAGAGTGCTAGCTTTAAGTAGAAAACAAAAGCTCAGGGACAGCGCCCAGGCTTTGAGTTCAAGCCCCATAACTGAAAAAAAAAAAGAACTAAGAGATTTACTTGTATTTCCTCTTTTCCACTTTCTATTTCTCTAAAGTGATTCAGGGGAAGGGAGGAGGGGGGGAGAAGAAGCTCCTGTTAAAAAGGCAGTTTGTGATAGTTGAACATACTTATCTCTTAGGCACCTATCTTTCTGTACTGAGACCTGAACAGATGACAGTAGCAAGCTTCTGCTATGTGTCTGATTTACATACTTACATAAAATGGCTTTATGTAAGGTCTACACAGTATTTTCAGAAAGAGAAAAGGCATCAAGTTGATTTAAGGAAGGTACCAACTCTCATACCAGGTGGTGGTGGGCAGGGTCTTGTTGGAGTTCCAATCTTTGGTGGCAGTGCTGGGGGTACATCTTCACTCTTGACTGATGTTTCCTCAAACACATTTTTTGGAATGATCTCTCTGCTCACAGAGCTTGATGTGGCTGAACTAAAAGGATCTTCATTGTTAACCTTTGTTTAAAAAGAAATATTTATATAGGGCTATATAAATAAAACCAAGCAAACTGTGCATTTCATATCATACAGCATTTAGAAAAATGATGGGAGCATTAGCCACACTCATTATTTTAATTTCTAGAGCACAGACATTTTACCTTTTGTATTCAAGGACAAATGGGATTTAAAAAGGGAATCACTACTATATGAACAGTGACGCTCACTACTCATAAAAAATACTAGATCATATTAAAACAAGCCAACTGTGTACTGAAGATGTCAAATTACAGACAATATGTTTTGAAAAACTACTCACCTAAGACCCTCTTTTCTTTCTTTCTTTTTTTTGTACTAGTACTAGGACAAAACTCAGGGCCTCAAGTTCACAGTTGGTATTCTACTATTTGAACAATGTCTCCAGTTATATTTTTGGCTGATTTATTGGAGATAGTCTCACCAATCTGTCTGCCCATGCTGGCTTTGAACCTCAATTCTCATTTCTGAAGGAAAAGCTAGGATTATAGGTGTGAGCAACCAGTGCCTTCCTTGAGGCCCACTTTAAAGGGGCCATATATACACCTGTCTTTCAATGAATATCTGAGCCAGATGATAATTGATAAGTGATTCCTCACGTCTCAATCCACTTAAATATAGGAAAGATTTGAACACTAATTAAAAGAAAATGGCATCTAGACAAACTATAAAGGCAAATGAAATAGTCATTTTTTAAACAACTGATCTCATAGAATAGTAAGTAAATACAGGTCTGAAGATTCTACCTTTCAAATATTTGGAGTTATGAAAGAGTTACTTTTCTGTAATGAACCAGCTTATAATTTCAGATCTCTCTAGTCATTGTTTCTCAACAGTGGGACTACTGTATATAGAATAATTTTTTTTTTTTTTTTTGGTTGTGGGGCTTGAACTCTGGGCCTGGGCACTGTCCCTCAGCTCTTCAGCTCAGGGCTAGCGCTCTACCACTTGAGCTACAGTGCCATTTCTGGTTTTCTGGTGGTTTATTGGAGATAAGAGTTTCACAGACTTTTCTGCCCAGGCTGGCTTTGAATTGAGATCCTCAGATCTCAGCCTCCTGAGTAGCTAGGATTACAGGCATGAGCCACCAGTACCCAGCAATATAGAATAATTCTATGTTGTAGAAGTAAGAAGTGTATTATGCTTAATGGCATCCTTGGCCTCTATCCAACAGATAAGAGTAGCATTCTCCATCTAGTTGTAAAAATTTGTCTCTACACATTACCAGATTCACTGGGGTTAATAATATAGACAATTTGATACACCCTGAATCCTCCTCTATTGGCCTGAATCAATACTAGATCTATGCTGGAAAATAGGTAGTGAACATTTAGTATTATAATTTGTATATTAAGTACCTTAGGTATAGTTGTTCTTCACTCTACTTATACTTATTATCATTATACTGTATTGGGGTTTTTTAAAAAACCCACATAAATAGTGAGCCCTCACCTACGGCATTATCTATGGAGTTATGTTGCAGAGACTCCTATGATAGGCAAAAATCTGCAAAGAAGCAATAAGTAAACCATGATATAGTGAAGGACAATACTGCTACATCGTGGATTTTTACCTATCACGGGGATCTCTGGAATGTAACTCCCACCATAGGTGAGAGATCACTGTAGACCCTAATAGCCTCAGAGTCTGAAAATCAAGTAGCTAATATGGAGAGGATGGATGACTATTACCTCTATGACCCAGGTAGAATACAGAGGAAAAATACATTTCGAAGAAACATGTTTAAAATGGACATAAGATTCTAAATATGATGTTGCTGAGCAAACTTTTCAGTGGGAAATTATAATTACCCATATCAACACAGTCTGTGTATGTTTATGATTATAGTTTATCTTTTATTTTTGTCTGAAATTAGTATTTGATCTGACTTATTGCAATCAAGTTGCAATGTCTAAGAGAGTTCTGCTCCTCTGATGTATTTTCCCTTTTCATTAATCTCTGCAGATTACCTTTGACAATGTGCTGAAGTCAGCAAATCCTTCTCCAAAGGATTCATTTCCAAAAACAGAAGCAAAAGGATCTGTGGCTAAAATAAGCAGATAAAATCAGTGCAATAGAACAACAACAACAAAATACCCCCATCAAATTTCATGTCCTCTTTTGCTTGGTAATATTCAGACTGGTGAAAAATATCTAATCCCAAGTATGAGTCCCTTAATTTATGACTGATACTCACAAAGACAGTACTGTACACTGATAATCCATATGATCATACGGTATATTCTTGTATACCAGTAACATAAATTAACTGGTTAATGATTCAAGATAAAATACAGGTGAACTACTTTTAGGTACTTTTATTTATTACTTTGGTCTGAGACCAAAACTCACATTTAGTACCTGAGAATTTTGCTAACTGGCTAGCATAGTACCAACTAAGCCATGCCTCTGACCATAAGACTCTAGAATAAACATCAATAATACATAGTTCCTATATAGTTCCTATAAATTTAATTTTTGATTTTATTTTTTGGTTGGTTGTGGGGTTTGAACTCTGGGCCTGGGCACTGTCCTTCAGCATTTCAGCTCAAGGCTAGAGCTCTACCATTTGAGTCACAGCTCCACTTCTAGTTTTCTGGTGGTTAACTGGAGATGAATCTCACTAGACATTCTTGCTTGGACTGGCTTTGAACCACGATCCTCAGATCTCAGTCTCCTGAATAGCTAGGATTACAGGTGTGAGCCACTGGCACCTGGAAATTTTTAATTTTTTTTTAGATAAGTGTCACTATGTACAAGCCAGTATAGGGAACTCTGAAGCTGAGCTGTGAAACTTGGAAAAGGTTTGAATTTGGAATCCCACCTCAACAGCACTAGGAAGGCTGAGAGCTGGCCATGGAAGGATTAAACCACAGCTCTGGAGAGGGTAAGGAGAATGGATTGCAGCCTCTCTTGCATTTCCTTAGACTGGTAGCTGTGCTGGGGACCTTGTTGGCAGGACTAAAAGACCTTGAGGGCTGGGAAGGTGGCTCAGTGGTAGAGTGCTTGCCTTGCATGCATGAGGCCCTGGGTTCAATTCCTCAGCACCACATAAGCAAAAAGAAAAAAAGCCGGAAGTGGCGCTATGGCTCAAGTGGTAGAGCGCTAGCCTTGAGCTGAAGAGCTGAGGGACAGCCCAGGCCCAAAGTTCAGGCCCCAAGACCGGGCCCCCCCCCCCAAAAAAAGACCTTGAGAACTCAACTTTGGGTTAGATAAGTGAACACCGTGTGTCTGTACTTTCCCTGGGCTGCAATGTCCTGTCTCAAAAGAATAAGGGAACCAGTGTCTCTCACAAATTCTGTTTTAGCTCTGATTATAATATTAATATAGATGCTTTACTTTTTGCATGTATCCATGGTAACCTTCCTTGTGTGAACTCAAATAAATACGCTTGCTTGTGGGAACTGGGGCCCAAGTACAGGAGAGCCTTGGGACCTCTGGTCTTCCCCCTTTTCTATCTGTGTATATCTGTATTTTTCTAATTTTCTTCAGCTTGGTATCCTACAGCACTGCCTCAGGTTACAGTTAGCAACAGACCAGGATGGCTTCAAACTTGGGACTTTTCTGTCTTGCCTCCTGAGTGCTGGAATCACAGGAAGTTAAAAAAAAAAAGATATATACAATAAATTCCAGTCTTCACACTTGTCCTTCAAAGGCTGTTTCAAATACTACCTCATCCATAAAATCTAGTGTAACGGGGCTGGGAAGGTGGCTCAGTGGTAGAGCGCTTGCCTTGCATGCCTGAGGCCCTGGGTTCGATTCCTCAGCACCACATAAGCAAAAAGAAAAAGCCAGAAGTGGCACTGTGGCTCAAGTGGTAGAGCGCTAGCTTGAGCTTTAGAGCTAAGGGACAGTGCCCAGGCCCAGAGTTCAGGCCCCACGACCGGACCCCCCCCCCCCAAAAAAAAATCCAGTGTAACCTATGTCAATAATTCACACAAGCAGTGATTTCTTCATTCTCTGTGCAGTAACTATATTTTGTACTGTGTCCAAGTTTTTACCATGATTATCTGTAGATGGTAAAGCTCTTTGAAAACAGGAAATAAGATCTATCCAACAAAGAACCACTGACAAATACCTGCTGACCTATACCAAGTTCTAGAAAATAGGGAGATACAGTTTCTACCCTTGAGAAGCCCTAGTGACATATCTAAACAAACAAAATAATTACTGGGCTAACTGGGAAAAGCAGGAAAAGTAGCAAAGCAACACATCTGAGCTTCTGAAGGAGGTGTTCTGAATAAGAAATTACATTTGCCAAATAGTTGGAGGTGTGTGAGAGAAAAAAGGCTACTGCTTTCAGTAACCATAAAAACAATGCTTAACCAATTCTCCACAGTGCAATTCTCCATAGTGCACTTTCCATTTTAGCTGCAATGAACATATTTACTCTGATAAGCTTCACCTATTCAGGGATCACCAATAATACCAAAGAATGTTTTTAACAAGTACTGCGTCATGGGGCTGGGAATGTGGCTCAGGGGTTGAGTGCTTGCCTTGCATGCATGAGGCCCTGGGTTAGATTCCTCAGCACCACATACACAGAAAAAGCTGGAAGTGGGTGCTATGGCTCAAGTGGTAGAGTGCTAGCCTTGAGCTGAAGAGCTCAGGACAGTGCCCAGGCCCAGAGTTCAAGCTCCATGACCAGCAAAAAAAAAAAAAAAAAACAAAAAAAAAAAAACAGAAAAAAAAGAAGTACTGCCTCGTATAAGAAGGTAGAAAGAGCCGGGTGCTGGTGGCTCATGCCTGTAAGCCTAGCTACTCAGGGGGCTGAGATCTGAGGATTACAGTTCAAAGTCAGCCAGGGCAGGAAAGTCCATGAAACTCCTATCTCCAATAAACACTCAGAAAACCGGAAGTGGCGCTGTAGCTCAAGTGGTAGAGTGCTAGCCTTGAGCTGAAGAGCTCAGGACAGTGCCCAGGCCCAGAGTTCAAGCTCCATGACCAGCAAAAAAAAAAAAAAAAACAAAAAAAAAAACAGAAAAAAAAGAAGTACTGCCTCGTATAAGAAGGTAGAAAGAGCCGGGTGCTGGTGGCTCATGCCTGTAAGCCTAGCTACTCAGGGGGCTGAGATCTGAGGATTGCAGTTCAAAGTCAGCCAGGGCAGGAAAGTCCATGAAACTCCTATCTCCAATAAACACTCAGAAAACCGGAAGTGGCGCTGTAGCTCAAGTGATAGAGCGCTAGCCTTGAGCTGAAGAGCTGAGGGACAGCGCTCAGGTCCAGAGTTCAAGCCCCATAACACACACACACACACACACACACACACACACACACACACACACACACACACACACACACACACACACACACACACACACGTACGTACGTAGAAAGAAGCAAAGGAAAGAGTTGCAAAGGACAGAGGAAAGAGATTTGCAAGGAGAAAGCAAAGCAAATACATGAAGAAATGCTCAATATCTATGTCCATAAAGTTAATGAAAGTCAAGACACTGAGATTTCATCTCACTCTAGTCAGTATGGCCATTATAAAAACAGTAACAAATGCTTGTAAGGATGTGGGGAAAAAGGATGTTGGTGGAAATGTAAACGAGTGCAATAACTATGGAAATTGGTATGGAGGTTCCTCAAGAAAATAAAAATAGAACTACTATATAATCTGCTGATAACACTCTGAAGGAATGTAAATAGACATAGTAGAAATGCTTGCACACCCATTTTTATCATGATAGCCAAGCTATGGAAACAACACAGATGTCCTACAACTGATGAATGGAGCAAGAAAACATGCACACACGTGCACATGCACACACACAATGGGGTATTATTCAGCTATAAAGAAAAATGCGTCTTTTGAAGGGAAATGGATGGATGAGAAGGTCATCATAATAACCAAATTCATCCAGGTTCAGAAGGATATGTGGATGCTAGATCTAAAAGATAAGCATACATAAACACATATAGGCTCATATGTATACACACAACTAACATGTTTGCAATTGTGGGAATGCTTAAGGGGATAGAAGGGGCAATACATTTGTGAATGGAGATGGTAAAACCAAACTCATAGAAAGCTGTTGAATAATAGTGGATAGGAGGTCAAGTGAGAGTAGGCGAGGATCAAATGATTAAAATGACAGCATATGAATGTGTGAAATACAATTAAAGCCCCTCTGAATAATTAATATGTACTTAAATAAAAATGAATGTTAAAAAGGTAAAACATGTCCTGTCTGTGGTATGGGTACTAGGGTGAGTGAGGCAGGTAAACAGAGGGAAAGAGGGTGAATATGGTCAAAATACTTTATGTACATGTATAAAATGAATGAAGCTTGTTGCAATTGGTTGGGAAAGGGGAAGGAAGGAGAGTGGCAGAGGGATGGGAGTCTGATCAAGGTACACTGCATGCATATATGGACATGTCAAAATGAAATATCCTGGACAACTAATTTGTACTAGTAAAAAATAAAATTATAAAAATATAATTAAAAATAAATTTAAAAAGAGAAGACATGGGCTGAGGAGATCGCTTAGTAGAGCACTTGTACAGCATGCACAGGCCCCAGGTTTGACAAATAGAAGACTGAAGAGATATAAAAATAATTTTCTTTAGTCTTTCTCAATTCACCTTTGTATCAAACAATTGCTAAAACAAAAGTGTGCTCCACTCAACCACTTAGATGCATAAAGTGTGTCTGTCTCTCTAGAAATGAATAGAGCATAAATATGAACAGAAGTGGGGGGGGGGGTCAGAAAGCTATATGGCAAACTCTTGAGTATATAGAACCAAGGAAGTTGACACAGAGAAAAACCCATAAATGCTCAAAATGTAAAGCTCAGTTATTATTGATTCACTTTTCCCACAATGTTGCCCAACTTCCACTAAAGACCTGTCATTTTTCAACATATCTCAAAATTTCACTTTCTTACTTAAATTAAGCGCTTAAATCATGCCCTTGAATGGATTACTTTTACCATGCTTTTAGGATACCACTTGCTTTTTTGGACAGTTTTTCACAAAATTAAGGGAAGGAAACACTCAGCAAATCACAATTTAAGCACAACTGATAATTACTCAGGATTGAGAGCTTCTTTACATCAAATGAAATATGTAATGCACATATGGGCATTTAAAATTTTTATTACCATGTTTATCAAAACCAAGTATAATAAATTTGTGATAAGGCAGGCTTCCTGTAAAATTTTCCTTTGTCATCAACACAATGGCATAGAAATACAGTGAGTGGGTAAAAAAGGTGGACAGATTGCCTAGAAAAATCAGTCCTTCAGGGATACATTGACAACTCTGGTTCTGAATAGGATGTTGAGAAATTTAAGAGTTACAGGAAACCCTACAACTTTAGTTGTAAAATATTCCTTTATGTAATACTTATCTACCAGGTCCTATAGCTTGGCCCAGTTCCATTATGGATGCTGATTTAGGCTTTAACCCTTCCTTTTCCTCTGTTATTTTTGATGATGTAGCAGTTGAGGTATATTCTGGAGGATATACACACTATCTCAATTGGGAGAAGAGTGGCCAAAGAAGTGGCGCTGTGGCTCAAGCGGTAGAGCACTTGCCTTAAGCTGAAGAGTGCAGGGACAGCGCCCAAGCCCAGAGTTCAAGCCCCACGACCCACCAAAAAGTAAAAAAAAGTATTCTGAAGGGGGAGGTAGTACTAGGGTTTGAAATTAAGGCCTTGTGCTTGCTAGGCAGGCATTCTACCACTTGAGCCACATCCTAGCTCTTCTGGCTTTTGTTATTTTTCTTTCATCATTAATTTACTTTATTGTTATTATAGAGGTGATGTATGGAGGGATTACAATTACGAGTCAGGTAATGAGCACATTTCCTTTTATATTCTGTTACCTTGCTCTCTTCCAGTGTTTTTGTTATTTTTCAAGTAAGTTCTTGCATTTATGCCCAAGCAGGCCTGGACTGGGATCTTCCTATTTATGCTTCTCTCATAGCTGAGGTAACAGGCACACACTATGCATAGACTTGATTGGTTGGAAACCTTTGCCTGGGTTAAACTCAAATCAAGATCCTATCAGTTTTTGTCTTCTGGGTAGCTAGGATTTACAGGCATAAGCCACTGTGTGTCAGCCACATAGTTTCAAAAGACATAACCAGTGTTAATACAGTAAGTCTTTTGGAATTCTCGTTTTCTCCAAGTTTTTGTTTAAATCAATATTTGGCCTTATACTAAATCTTACATTCCTCACTCTTGCTACTCATGTTGGGAGTTACTTCCAACTTGAAAACAAATTATCACATTGTGCTAAATCTCCTTAAAATTTGTTCAATATAAAAAAATCCAATTTGCTAAGGCATTTCTAATATTCTTTCTATGCTTATAATCCTTACTCTGCTATAATCAGCAATCTGGGAAAAGAAAGCTTTCTACTTGCAGCATGAGATTGAAATATTTAGACATTTGAGTTTGCTTTTCTTTGATTTGCTTCTCTTACATAATAGCTAGCCTGCTTACCTGTTTTATTTTTCAATGAACAGTGGGAAAGCATACTTAGTTGAAAAAAAAAAAGCTTTTTTTGTTTTTGTTTTTTTTGTTAGTCATGGGGCTTGAACTCAGGGTCTGTCCCTCTGTCCCTAAGCTTTTTCACTCAAAGCTAGTGTTATACCACTTTGATCTACAGAGTCATTTCTGGTTTTCTTGTGGTTAATTAGAGATAAGAGTCTCACGGATGTTCCTGCCCAAGCTGGCTTTGAACCACGATGCTTAGATCTCAGTCTCCTGAGTAGCTAGGATTACAGGTGTGAGCCACCAGCGTTCAGCTGAAAAGAGCTTTTAGATTCTGTTAGATTCCATAAGATCTAGCTTTAAGGTTCCATTAGACCTAGGTTTCAAATTTAGTTGACTGGTTTATCTGGCTCAAATATAATAATAATAATAATAAGCTGAATAATTTTGATCGTTATTTATTGTTCTGATTCTTAGTTTCCTGATGTTTAAAATAGAAATATTACTTAAAGAGTTGCTAAATGAATATTAGATAATATAAATGGAGTATGAAGACAGGATACTAGAAGAACATTAATTTTTTCTCTGTATTATTAACAGATTTTTTCTTGTATTTTCAAAACAATTTTTACTATCTGGAAGCCTTTAAATTAGGCCAAGGTTCCTTAAGAGTCAATGCTGACTTTGAAGAGGCAAAGCAATACTACCTTTTATAAAGCAAACAGCTCTTATTGGTTTTATTGATATTGATTGGATGGAGTATATATTCTACAAAGACCTTTAACATGAATAAATGAGATCATGAATAACAAGCAAACTAAAAAATGGTATACAAACACTGGTCACTATTATTGATAGAAAATTATAATTAGAAATAATATACTACAATTCAAAAGCCAAAATTAATAAAAAATATTTTGGGGAAAAAAAGCTTAAAGGGTAACATTTAACATTCCTTAACACTGGTAAATTTCTTTACCTGAATCAGCTGCTGCAATAACAACTGTTCCACCAGGAGCAAAAGGATCATTGTTCTTCAATGTTTCCCCCTAAACAAATTATACAAATCCATGATGAATGAGAGAAGTAACATTTCATATCTGAAATCCTACTGCTACTCCCTCAAAATGGTCCTCTCAAATTCCATAAGAAATGCAAACATAACAAATACTTTCCCCCTACTAATTTTCAGTCCTATTAAATAGAAATGATACCTATTCTTCTTCTTCTCTCTGTCTCTCCATATTTTTTTTTTTTTGGTCGGTTGTGGGGGCTGAACTCTGGGCCTGGGCGCTGTCCCTCAGCTCTTCAGCTCAAGGCTAGCACCCTACCACTTGGGCCAAAGTGCCACTTCCCCCTTTTTCCTGCTTATGTGGTGCTGAGGAATCGAACCCAGGGCCTCATGCATGCAAGGCAAGCACTCTACCACTGAGCCACCTTCCCAGCCCCATCTAATTTCTTTAACTGTGAATACAGACATTCCAGAAGACTTGATATGCCCCTCTTCTATCACAATCCCACCCTTTTTTCTGTAGAAGTGATTATTATCTAACTTTGATGATACTTCTTTCTTTTTCATAATATTGATACTTGTATAGAAGCATAAAATTTTAACTTTTTTTTTTTTTTGCTGGTCCTTGGGCTTGAACTCTGGGCCTGGGTGCTATCACTGAGCTCCTTTTGCTCAAGGCTAGTGCTCTACCACTTGAGCCACAGCACAACTTCCAGCTTTTTCTATGATTAACTGGAAATAAGAGTCTCACAGACTTTCCTGCCTGAGCTGGCTTCAAACTATGATCCCCAAGTCTCAGCCTCCTGAATAGCTAAGATTACAGGCATGAGCCACTGATACCCAGCTTTTTAACTTTTTATGCTGAATAAATTAGACTTATGGAAGAATTATAAAGACTATATAGTTCCCACAAACAGTTCACCAAGCTTCCTCTAATCTTAATATTTTATACAATTACAGTATATCTACTACAATTAAGGAATTAACAATTAACATCAGTATGAAACTATAAACCACAGACTTTATTTGGATTTTGAGTTTTTCCAATAATATCATCTATCTAGTCCCATATGTACACTAGATGCACTAACTCTGCCTCTTATAAAAAACACACACATATACATATACACATGGAGGGATATTTTTGTTACAAAGATCTTGCTGTATTTTTAATAATAAATTTTGTCAAAGTTTGGAATTAAGTGGCAAGAGTGACAGGCTACAATGAGAGAATTTTACTTGAAGCCATACATTTCTGTTTATTACTTTATTACTTTATCTTTATTACTGTTAACCAGTTTCCAAGAAATTGCATATTCAGAAAGATAACTGAATTTTCCTTTTGATACAAGGCTTTTCTTAAAGGGTTAGCTGAAAACATGATCAGATGCTAAGAGAAAAGGCTGTGAAGAGAGTTTCCAAACATTTATATCCAATTCTGCTTCATAACCATCAATGTTATCTATATTTTAGGTTCTGTTTCCAATTATCAAGAAGTTGGATATTACAACTCGGTATCAAAGGACAGTGCCAGAAGTTAACTTAAAAAGTTCCAAGTAGGGCTGGGAAGGTGGCTCAGTGGTAGAGCGTTTGCCTTGCATGCCTGAGGCCCTGGGTTCCATTCCTCAGCACCACATAAGCAAAAAGAAAAAAGCCGGAAGTGGTGCTGTGGCTCAAGTGATAGAGCGCTAGCCTTGAGCTGAAGAGCTGAGGGACAGCGCCCAAGCCCAGAGTTCAGACCCCATGACCGGACCCCCCTCCCAAAAAAAAAAGTTTCAAGTAGAGGTTGTGGCTCAGGTGGAAGGGTGCCTGCCAAGGAGTGTAAAGCATCAGGTACTGAAGTTTGAGTCCTGGTCTTAAACAACAACAAAAAACTTCCAAGTAAAACAAATGTAATAAAAGAGAAAGAAAATGCTAACCTTTTTCTGATATTACTGGGATTGAACTCAGAGCCTCACTTGAGCCACATCCCTAATACTTTTGGCTTTCACTTTTTTGTTTTATCATTCAAATTAAAAATTTGAATCATTTTTATTGTTATTATAAAGGTGCTGTACAGAGGGGTTACAGTAACATAAATCAGGTGAAGAGTACATTTCTTTTTGGACAGTGTCACCCCTTCTTTTCTCTTTCCCAGTTATTCTATCCCATCTCTGGAAGTGGCGCTGTGGTTCAAGTGGTTAGAGCGCTAGTCTTGAACTGAAGAGCTGAGGGACAGCACCCAGGCCCAGAGTTCAGGCCCCACGACCCAAAAAAAAAAAAAAAAAAAATCCCATTAAACAAAAAAAGGCCCATTAATCTATCCCAGCTCCATGCACAAGTTGTATAGTTCATTTTCTTTTTTTTTTTTTTGGGTCCGGTCGTGGGGTCTGAACTCTGGGCCTGGGTGCTGTCCCTCAGCTCTTCCACTCAAGGCTAGCACTCTACCACTTGAGCCACAGTGCCACTTCCGGCTTTTTTCTGGTTATGTGGTGCTGAAGAATCGAACCCAGGGCCTCATACTTGCGAGGCAAGCACTCTACCACTGAGCCACCTTCCCCAGCCCCGTATAGTTCATTTTCAACATAGTGTCCCATGAATACCATTCAAATTCTTTTATTTGGGGCTGGGAAGGTGGCTCAGTGGTGGAGTTCTTGCCTTGCATGCACGAGGCCCTGCGTTTGATTCTTCAGCAACACATAAACAGAAAAAGTCAGAAGTGGTGCTGTGGTTCAAGTGGTAGAGCGCTAGCCTTGAGCTGAAGGGCTCACGGACAGTGCCCAGGCCCAGAGTTCAAACCCCATGACTGACAAAAAAAAAAAAAAGTTCTTTTATTTTTGCTGGTACCATAGTTTGAATTCAGAGCCCTGGCTTTGCTAGGCTTGTTCAACTGGTATTCTATCACTTAAGCCATACCTCCAGCTTGGCTTTTTGCTGGTTAATTATACATGGAGTCCTGCCAACTTCTCTGCTCTGTCTGGCTTTGAACTTTGATTCTCCAGATCTCAGCCAAGGTTACAGACGTGTGCCACCAGAAACAAGCTCCAATTCACTCTTCCTAATTCAGTCATCCACTCCCTACTTCACATTATGATTTAACACCCGTTCAATGCTACTATATACTAGCTAGAAAATGGAAGATAATTTGTTCAGTTTAATTTATGCCTATTACAGAGCAAAAATCAGTTGTAGTTAGTAGGAAAAGACTTGGGGGTTCACATATGGAACCACACAATCTGTAATAATAAGTTAATCTTTTTATGTCTCGTTTACTTTATCTTAAAAGTGGGGGCAAGCTGGGCATTGAGGGCTCACATTTATAATCCGAGTTACTTAGGATGCTGAGATCTGAATATACTGGCTCAAAGCTAGCCCAATTAACCAGCAGAAAGCTAAAAGTGGGGCTGTGGCTTAAGTAGAGTGCCAGCACACGTGGTAGAGCAAAAAGCTAAGCAACAGCACATAGGCCCTTAATTCAAGCCCCAGTACTAGGATGCACACACATACACACACAAAGTAGGGGGAATATACAGGTGGATGTAGCTCAGTGATGCCACCACACTAGCATGTTCAAAGTCCTATATTTAAGCCTCAGCACCTCAAAACTAAAAGGAAGCGAAATTATGTTTCATAAAACTATTGTACTACTAAATGATGTATGTAGAACTTGGCACCATTCCTGGGACATAGGAGAGACTAAATAAACTATAGTCATTATTATATTGTCAACTCTTTGAGTGGAGAAGTTATGAAATGTCAGTAAGGGCAATATTTATTTTAAAAACTGAGGAGAAAAAAGTACAACAAATGGTAGAAATGTCTCAGCAGGGGAAAAGAATAGAAGGAATGTGTTAGGTTTTAATTAGGAAGTGCTAATTAGCTTGTTCCTAAATGAAAGAAATAGAGAATGAAAGGGTAGAATAAGGTAAGAGGAGAACACTGATTATAGTCAATTTTAGAAATTTTGGCAAATGAAGGTAGGCTTCATTTATAGGCTCATGCCTGTAATGCTAGCTACTCAGGAAGCTGAGCTCTGAGGACCGAGGTTCAGAGCCAGCCTGGGCAAAAAAGTCCATGATTCTTATCCTCAATTAGAATACAAAGCCATGAGTTCAAGCCCTAGTACTGGCACAAAAATAAATTGGCAAGGGGCTGGGAAGGTGGCTCAGTGGTAGAGTGCTTGCCTTGCAAGTGTGAGGCCCTGGGTTCGATTTTTCAGCACCACATAAGCAAAAAGAAAAAAGCCGGAAGTGGTGCTGTGGCTCAAGTGGTAGAGTGCTAGCCTTGAGCTGAAGAGCTGAGGGACAGCACCCAAGCCCAGAGTTCAGGCCCCACAACAAGACCCCCCGCCCAAAAAAAATGGCAAGTGAATCCTCACTGCGATACAGAGTATCCAGTAGGCTGTGGAAACCAAAATATTTAGTTATAGAGATATTTTCTCTAAGTCACTGGAAAAATACTAATTGTTGCCTAAGGAAAACTACTGAATTCAGTTAAGGAAATAATTCAAGAGTATAAAAATCAAACAATTACTCTTTTTATGTAACCTATGCAACAATGATACAAGATACTATGTTTGAATTAATTTTACAACTTTGGGGGGAGGGAAGTGGGGGATAGGGAAAGCAGGAGAAAATGAGGGAGGGGTTAGCAATGTTCAACAAGAATTATACTCATTTTCTTATTCATATAACTGTAACCCCTCTGAACATCACCTTTACAACAACAATAATAATAATAATAAAGCAATATTATTCTAAAAGCATTTTACAAGATAAAATATTTTGCTTTGGATGTCTATCAATCACCTGTCCCTTTCTGAGTCCAGTTTATAAATATGAAACCACTGCCTCAAAACCAAACCAACAGAAACTACTAAGTCACTCCGAGGATGTGAAACTGGGTGACAAGTACATGAGGCTTGTTACAATATTTCAGAATTCTCTATTTTGAGTTATTTTCAAACATCTATATTTTTAAAGCCTCCCAAACATTCATAACATAAAGAGTTTTTAATAGCCTCCCAAATGACACAATACTTTAGCTGTGTGAAATGGGGTACATTAATTTGGGGTCCTGATGTTCTTTTTAAAACAGAGATACTAACACCTACCTTGAAAAGTTAATGTGAAAATTAGAAATAATGAATGTAAGGTATATAGAGGTAACTGGATCATAGCATGTGAATACTAAATAGTAATTGTTGTAGCTATGTATGTACTCAAGAGAGCTTAATGTTCCTAAGTAGGGGTTTATATTTCTTTGCAAGATTAACATTCCAGAGGTACCTATAAAGTAATTTATATAACGTTTTTCAATAATAACCAAATATGGAAATTTCATTTAAGGCTGGCTTATGAACTTCCCACTGTTTATTTTTAATATGGCCATTGAGACAAAATTTGATCCCTTGAAAGATGGATTTTGTTTTTGGATACTAAGTCACCTAGTTAATTCTAATGGATGATCAAAGTATGAAATATTAGTGGATAATCAAAGTATGAAATAAGAAAAACTGTAAGTGTCAGAATGAGAGAACTTTTTATATGACCCATTATACATAACCAAAAAAAAAAGACTGTTTCACCATTGTGTATTCAAGAAATTCCCTTACAACACTAGTTATCCATTCCATGTAACAGCTTTTAATCCTTCTACTTACAGATGTATTACTGTTATTGTTGAGTGCACTGAAAGGGTCAGTACTTGAAGTGACAAAAGGATCAGTAGCAGATTGTTTGAAGAAGCAGTCAGATGCAAATGGATCTGAACCTTTGAAAGGATCACCACCAAATGGATCTAAGAAAATATAAAGTAGAAAGGTAAGAGATTAAAAAATCATTCACTAACTTTCCTAGCATAAAAGCAATGCCTTAGTAAAAAGACATTTTCAACTGTATAGTAACATCTATTTCAAGTTCCTTTGTGATTTTGATTAAGAATATAGAGCCTTTTACCTACTAAACTTATACTTTTTATTAGTATATAAAATGGACTTGGGGCATGGCCTTAATACTACCAAAAAGCAAACAAACAACCTAACTCTCAATAATAATTTTAAGGTGGCTGGGAAGGTGGCTCAGTGGTAGAGTGCTTGCCTTGCACGCATGAGGCCCTGGGTTTGATTCCTCAGCACCACATAAGCAGAAAAAAAAAGCCAAAAGTGGAGCTGTGGCTCAAGTGGTAGAGCGCTAGCCTTGAGGTGAATAGCTGAAATACAGCGCCCAGGCCCAGAGTTCAGGCCCCACAACCAGACCCCCCCCCCTCCAAAAAAAAATTTTTTAAAAGGGATTTAAAGTAAATTCCCTTTATTCTATGCATATCATAAATGAAAACTACAACAAAAACTTCAATTTATTCCTTTCTCTCAGCTCAAAGTTAACAGCCAATATTCTTCAACAGGTTTGGAAAACAAAACTAAATGGTAAACAAGACTTACTTTGTTTTTATAAAATGATTAAAAGGGTACTTTAAAAAGCCCAATGTTTAGTAATTCTTCAAGATGGTTGCATTTTCCCATTCACATATAAACAGGCTATATATACATAGCTCCATAGTAATGTGTATATTATGCTCATCTAAACTTTAGTCAATAAGGAGAAATTAAAAGTCAACATCACTTTTTTGGTGCTGGTGCTAGGACTTGAACTCAGGGCCTGGACAGTATCCCTGAGCTTTTTTTGCTCAAGTCCAGTGCTCTACCACTTAAGCCACAGTTCTACTTCTAGCTTTTTTGGTATTAATTTGAGATAAGTCTCATGGACTTTCTTGCCCAGGCTGGCTTTGAACTGCAATCTTCAGACCTCAGCCTCCTGAGAAACTAGGATTACAGGCATAAGCCACTATTGCCTAACTACAGAATATTACTTTTAAGAAGGGGGTTAGGAGATATAGCTCAGTGTTACAACACTTGTCTAGCATGTAAAACTCTTAAATTCATTCTCTAGTACCACAAAAAACAAAACAGAAAACAACAACAACCAAAAAATGGCTGAGTACTAGTGGCCAATACCTGCAATCCTTACTACTCAGGAGGTTGAGATCTGAGTAACATAGTAAAGCCAGCCTAAGCAGGAAAGTCTGTGAAACTCTTATTTCCATTTAACCACCAAAAAGCCAAAAGTGAAACTGTGGCTCAAGTGGTAGAACTCCAGCTTTGAGCAAAGGATGATCAGGGATAGTGCACAGGCCCTAAGTTTAAGCCACAGGACCAGTGCATGTGTGTACACACATACACACCAAATAAGAATAACAAAGCTAAACTTTTTTTTTTTTTTTTTTTTGGGGGGGGGGGCAGTCCTGGAGCTTCAAGCTCTGGGTTTGGGCTCTGTCCCTGAGCTTCTTTTGCTCAAGGCTAGCACTCTACCACTTGAGACACAGTGCCACTTCTGCTCTTTCTGTTTATGTGGTACTGAGGAATCAAACCCAGGGCTTCATGCATGTGAGGCAAGCACTCTATCACTAAGCCACATTCCCAGCCAAAGCTAACCTTTTATTAAGCAAATTCGTTAAGACTATACTACTCCCTTTCGGAAAATGCCAGGCACAAACAGCATTGTACTAAGGCTTTAGAGCAGTTTCAAAACGCAATTTTAAAACAGCTCATTTCCTGTAACTTCCTATCTTGTTACTTCTGTGTTATTATATACAGCATAAATTTATAATTAAAAGTTGAATTAAAGCTAAAATGGAACTCTTATATACTGACCAATTTTCCCAAAAGGATCATCTTTAAAAGGATCACCTGTGATAAAATAAACAGAAATTACAATTACATGATTACAATTACAATAATTACAATTACATTGTGTGGAATCATTAGTGAAACAGTAATTTTCAAACAAAGACAAAGCAAGTTAGTTACAATAGCTGTATTCAAAGTAAATTATGAATATCACCCATTTTAGGAAATATTTAAGATAATAAAGAATAAAAGCTGAATTCAATACACCTCATAAAAAAGGTAAATCTAATAGAATAAACTACAATTTGACAGCTATGGGGAAGACAGGAACATCAGCAAAAATTTTACTAACAAAAGCTACTCTTCATGAGAATAATGGATAGCTCATCATTTTAGGAATGAAGATTTAATGAGCTTCAATGGGGAACTTCTTACAGAATTAAGTAGTTCAGAGGTAAACCATTTAATTAACAACTACCTATTAATTAATGCATGTTCTGAGGCTTGAATTTAGGACCTGAGCTCTGTCCCTGAGCTTTTTTGCTCAACTCTTGCACTCTACCACTTGAGCTCCACTTCTGGCTTTTTTTTTTTGAGTAGATTATTGGAGATAAGAGCCTCATAAGAATTCCTGCCTGGAAGCCGGGCGCTGGTGGCTCACGCCTGTAATCCTAGCTACTCAGGAGGCTGAGATCTGAGGATCGCGGTTCAAAGCCATCCCGGGCAGGAGAGACCATGAAACTCCTATCTCCAATAAACCACCAGAAAACCGGAAGTGGCGCTGTAGCTCAAGTGGTAGAGCGCTCGCCTTGAGCTGAAGAGCTGAGGGACAGCGCCCAGGCCCAGAGTTCAAGCCCCACGACCGACAAAAAAAAAAAAAAAAAAAAAAAAAAAAAAGAATTCCTGCCTGGGCTGACTTTGAAACTCAATCCTCAGGTCTAAGCTTCCTGAGTAGCTAGGATGACAGGCATAAGCCACTGGTACCTGACTTATGATATTAGTACTAGTAGTATTTTTGCCAGTCTTGGGGCTTGAACTCAGGGCCTGGGCATTGTCTCTGAGCTTCTTTTGCTCAAGGCTAGTACTCTACCTCTTGAGCTACAGAGCCACTTCTGGCCTTTTCTGTTTATGTTTATGAATGGAACCCAGGGCTTCATGCATGCTACACAAAGCCTAGCCACTAGGCACATTCCCAGCCCAATTTTTGACAAGGGCATTAAGAACACACAATGGGGAAAGGATAGTCTTTTCAAAAATAGTACTTAGACAGTGGATTCCACTTGACAGTATATACAAAAATGAAAAATGAATTAAAGCTCTAGATATAAAAACTAAAACTACAAAACTCTCAGAAGAAAATACATGAGTAAATTTTGCTACTTTGTACTAGGTAGTAGTACATTTCTTAATATGACAACAAATACACAAGAGAAAATAGATACGTTGAATGCCATCAAAATTAGAAACTTGTATACAACATTAAGAACATGAGACAACATAGAATGCTAAGAATATATTTCAAATAATATATTTGGTAAGAGTGTATTTGGAACATGTAGAGAGCTTTTACAAGTTAACAAAAAAAGATAAGCACTCCTATTATAAATTGGACAAAATGACTTGGGGGTGATGGTACTGAGATTGAATTTAGGGCCTGGTTCTTGCTAAGCAGGTACTCTCGCTTGAGCCACATCACCAGCCCCTTTTTGTATTGTTTATTTTCCAGATAGGGTCTTGCTTTATGCTCAGACCAGTCTGACCTGGTATCCTTCTACTTCTCAGTGTCTATAAGGATGACAAATGTGTTACTGTGTCAGTCATTGTCTTTCCCCAGCAACTGGGGTAACAGGAGCATGCCACTGTGCCCAGACACTGGTAAAGAAGTTTTTCATGCTAGCCTCAAACTATGATCCCCCAAATCTCTACTTCCCAAGTATGTGAAATTACGTGTTTGAGCCACATCTAGCAGGGCAAAGTAATTTGATACTTAATATGATTTGATGATTAATATGATTTGAGCTTTTTTTGGTCAAGGCTAAGTGCAAGTACTCTACCACTTGTCCAAGACTCTCCTGGGTTTCACAAGTTAATTTAGGAAGTAAAACATAATGCAAAAGAGCATTGACACAAGTGATATTTAATATAGTGTACACTGGCATTAATCATTTTAGTTTATTGAAGTTATATAATTTTTCAATAAGGCATAAGTAACTTAAGGGGTAAGAATCAGATTTCTGACTCTGCTATTATATATTCATTGTTTTAAAAGTTCAGAGTTGGCTTTTTGTTTTTGGAGACAAGCTCTAGTTCTGTAGCCCAGGCTAATCATGAACATGCAATCCTCTTTCCTCAGCCTACTAAATGTTTGGATTACATGTACATGAAACCATGCCTGAACTAGTATTAGTGTTTTTAGCAACTAAGTTACTGGTTAACTTCAGAATCCAATCTCCAACTACTGCTCTATAACAAGTCTTTCCTTTGGGTTTCTATTTTTTTTAAAGATGATTTAAAACTTTTAATGTTAATTTTTTTAATTGAAAAGTTGGTGTTGGGGGTTACAGTTACCTAGGTAAGACAGTAAGTACATTTGTTTTTAATCACCATTACCTCACCCCCCCCTTTTTTTTTTGGTCGGTTGTGGGGCTTGAACTCTGAGCCTGGGCACTGTCCCTCAGCTCTTCAGCTCAAGGCTAGCACTCTACCACTTGAGCCACAGCTCCACTTCCAGTTTTCTAGTGGTTTAAGCCCAGGCTGCTTTGAACCTCAATCTTCAGATCTCAGCCTCCTGAGTAGCTAGGATTACAGGCATGAACTCTCTTCATTTCCCACTTACTACCCTACTCCCCCCAAGTTGTAATGTTCATATCCCACATAGTGTCAAGTGGTATCAATGTTGCTGTGGTTCACCCACTGTTCCACTGTTTCTGTGATTCCTTTTCCCTTCCACATATTGCATTGTCTATTATGTCTTACTTTTAAAAAATATAATTTTATTGTTTTTATTAAGGTGTTATCCAGAGAGGTTACAATTTCAAAGTGAAGTAATGAGCACACTTTTTTTTTTTGTCGTTTGTGGGGCTTGAACTCAGGGCCTGGGCGCTATCCCTGAGCTTTTTTTCACTCAAGGCTAGCGCCACTACTCTACTACTTTGACAGTGCCATTTCTGGTTTTCTGGTGGTTAACTGGAGATAAGAGTCTCACAGATTTTCCTGTCCAGACCAGCTTCAAACCGCTTCTCAGATCTCAGCCTCCCAAGTAGCTAAGACTACAGGCATATACCACCAGCATCCAGCAATGAATATAATTCTTTTTGGACAATGTTATCCTCTTCTTTGCTTTCCCCGTTTCCTTCTCCCATCTCTGTCCACAAGTTGCATAGTTCATTTTACACACACTGTCCTTTGAGTTCTATTTTTTGTTGTTGTTGTTGGATGTGGGACATGAACTCTGGGCTTGGGTGCTGTCCCTCAGCATTTCAGCTCAAGGCGAGTGCTCTACCGCTTGAGCCACAGTGCCACTTATGGTTTTCTAGTGGTTTATTGGAGATAAGAGTCTCACAGACTGTCCTGCCTGGGCTGGCTTTGAACCATGATCCTCAGATCTCAAGCCTCCTGAGTAGCTAGGATTACAGGCATAAGCCACCGGCGCCTGGCTCTTTGAATCCTATTTTTAAGAAGCACATACTTTTAATCATCATTACTCCATCCCTCTTCATCTCCCACTTACCCCTCCCTATCTCCCCCCCAAGTTGTAATGTTCATATCCCACATAGTGTCAAGTGAGTATCAGTGTTACTATGGTTCATCCACTGTTCTGCCGTTTCTGTGATTCCCTTTCCCTTCCACACACTGCACTGTCCATTATGCAAAACACGAGGGACTGGGCTCCCATTTTAAAAAGTATAATTTGGTATTGTTATTATTAAGGTGTTATACAGAGAGGTTACCATTTCAAAGTCAGGTAATGAGGATATTTTTTTTGGGGGGGGGGGGTTCATAAAATATAATCAAAGAATAGTCCTAAGATTTAGTTAACTGTCAAGGATAAATATCAGCAATTTAAGAATATAAACTCTTACTTACCTCTACATTTGTTAACAAATGTGCTATCAAAATGGAACTCCTACTTGTACTTGTACTTCTACTTGTACTTGGAAGATTAACATGATTTGTGATTTGAGGCCAGTCTAGGCAAAGAGTTTGTGAGACTCTCATCACAATCAATAAAAACATAGTGTTGTAGTGTGTGCCTATCATTCCAGCTACACAGAAGTATTAGTAGAAGGATCAGGGTCCATACTAGTCTAAGCATAACTTTTGAGAGTCTATGAAAAACAACTAAAGCATAAAAAGAAAGAGATAGGATTATGGCTCAAGTGACAGAGTGCTTACCTAGCATGAGCAAGGCCCAAGGTCCTGAGTTCAAACCATAGCATCAGAAAAAAAAACAAAACAAAAACTGAAGCCATAATTCTGATAGTTTATACATTAAAAAGTCTTGTTCTTTGTCAGGAAGCTAGAGGTGTAGCTTAAATGTTAGAGCACTTGCTTACCAAGTGCAAGGCTCTGAGTTCTAATACCCCCATCCCCGCCTTTATTTTTTGCTAAACTTATATAACAAAGATACTTACTGCCAACAAAAGGATCAGACTGGAAAAAATCCAAGTTTGTATCTGCAGCTGGTTCTGTCAGTGAACTTGAGTCTACATTAAATGGATCTTCCTAAAAATAATTTTTAATTAAAAAAAACTTTTTAGGAATCAAAGTTTTAAAATGTAACATTTAAAATTAAAATAACTCATATTCATATCATACATGTGCTTTCAAAATCAATAAAAATTTTTGCAGTTGCTCTCTCAGCTCTTTTCTAGCTCTCAGCTTTTTCCTTCTTTCTTTCCCAGCTCCCTTCTCTTTTCTAGCTCTTTCTCTGCTCTTTTCTAGCTCTCTCTCTGCTCTTTTCTAGCTCTTTTCTCTCTCTTTCCCAGCCTACTGAATTTAGCTCTTTTCTAGCTCTCTCTCTGCTCTTTTCTCTCTCTTTCCCAGCCTACTGAATAAACCTACCCCTTACCTGAAAAAAAAATTTTTTTTCAGTAATAAAGAATATTTAAAATAAGGATGAAGGCATGGCTCAAACCAGTAGCGTGCCTGCCTAACAAGTGTGAGACCCTGAATTCAAATCCTATTATTGCCCCCAAAAGAACATTTAACACATTAGTGATAAGAATCTTTAAAAACCTTCAAATACAAAATTTTGTTTACCTCTTTCGAATGTCCATCATTATCATATTCAGGACTAACTTTCTCATTAACAGTTACAGTCAGTACTTCATTTTCATCAGTCACATCAGAAGGTGGTAGTTCAGGACTACTTCTTGCCTACCCCCCAAAAAAATCATAAAAAAAAAATATATATATACACACACACACACATACATACCTAACTACACATATATGTATGTACATATAATCTACATATGTATTTATATGTGTGCTGGGATCGAACTCAGACCTTTGAGAATGCTAGGCAAGCACTTATGTATATTGTCTCTATCTGCCTGCCTGCTTGCCTGCCTGCCTGCTTGCCTACCTACCTATATATTTGACTGATTTTGGTGCTGGGGATCAAATCCAGGGCCCAGACAATCTCTCTATAACTGACCTATACTTCTAGTCCTATTTACAAAATATTAATGTAACATGGATTAACAATATTCTTTTCTTTTTTTATTGGGGAGCCCTTTTTGTTTTAGGTTATTTTTCACATGGGTACTGGCATTTTTGCCTAGGGGTGGCCTCATATCATGATCTTCCTACCTCAGTTTCTCATGAGGCTGGAATTATGCCCAACCCAATAATATTGTTTTTGACTTGGCAGAAGAAACTGACATAAAAGAAAACAAGTTATGCAAACAAGAAGATAAGCAATACATAGTCACAGAATGATTTCTTCTTCTACAATCAGTCTTAGAAAAATGATGTAAGCAAGCATCAAAGCCACTTAAGCTAGAGACTGTCAGATCATCTTTAACCACTTTCTTTTTCATCATCCCACAGCTAAAAAAAAAATCAAGATTCCAAATCTTGTTCAGTTTGTCTCATCCTCTTTTTCAAAATCTTCCCTTTTTCTCCATCTTCATTATCATTTTTTTTTGGGTCCGGTCGTGGGGACTGAACTCTGGGCCTGGGTGCTGTCCCTCAGCTCTTCAGCTCAAGGCTAGCGCTCTACCACTTGAGCCACAGCGCCACTTCCGGCTTTTTTCTTTTTGCTTATGTGGTGCTGGGAATCGAACCCAGGGCCTCAGGCATGCAAGACAAGCGCTCTACCACTGAGCCACCTTCCCAGCCCCCTCATTATCATTTTTTTAAAATTTACAGTAGAATCATCTCAAGTCAAGAATGCGATGGTAGCCTCCCATTTGTCTTCTGGCCACTAAGATGTACGCTTCCAAACTACTCTCCCTATGGTAGTAAAACAATAGATTTAGGATATAAATCTTGTAGTGCTTCTGGTTAAAAGTTATTCAAGGGTTTTTTTTTTTTTTTACTGTTCTCTTGATTTAGATCACTGGATAAAAAGGCTTAAAAGTTAGGGAAATTTATTTTACCCTTATATGTTTGAAGGATAATCTAGTAATCCTCTTTGTTTTTCTTTTTTTTGGTTGGTCATGGGGCTTGAACTCTGGGTCTGAGCACTGTCCCTCAGCTCTTCAGCTCAAGGCTAGCACCCTATCACTTGAGCGCCACTTCTGGTTTTTTGGTGGTTTTTATTGGAGATAAGAGTTTCACAAACTTTCCTGTCAGGTCTGGCTTTGAACCATGATCCTCAAATCTCAGCCTCTTGAGAAGCTAGGATTACAGGCATGAGCTACCCGGCTATAATCCTCTTTTTGTTTGAAAGAATACAGAACAGTATATCTATGACTGCCAAATTTAAATTTATAGAAGTCTATACAATTTTGTATCTTTAATAGCTCCCCAAATTGTCATCCCATCAATTTACCTGCTTAAATTTAGGTCAAAACTCATTTAGACTACCAACCTTCCTAATATATCTCTATATATTTCTCACATTTTTAATCATGTGCTTATTTTTTATGTTTTCGCTGTTTTGGATAGCTGGTCTAGAACTCACAATCCTGTCTGGTGGCTCAAGCCTGTAATCCTAGCTTCTCAGGAGGCTGAGATTTGAGGATCACGGCTCAAAGCCAGACCTGACAGGAAAGTCTGTGAAACTCTTATCTCCAATAAAAGCCACCAGAAAACCAGAAGTGGTGCTGTAGCTCAAGTGATAGAGTGCTAGCCTTGAGCTGAAGAGCTGAGGGACAGTGCTCAGACCCAGAGTTCAAGCCCCATGACCAACCAAAAAAAAAAAAAAGAGGATTACTAGATTATCCTTCAAACATATAAGGGTAAAATAAATTTCTTCTTTTTATGGGGGGTCCGGTCATGGGGCCTGAACTCTGGGCCTGGGCGCTGTCCCTCAGCTCTTCAGCTCAAGGCTAGTGCTCTACCACTTGAGCCACAGTACCACTTCCGGCTTTTTTCTTTTTGCTTATGTGGTGCTGAGGAATTGAACCCAGGGCCTCAGGCATGCAAGGCAAGCACTCTACCACTGAGCCACCTTCCCAGCCCCAAATTTCCCTAATTCTTAAGCCTTTTTATCCAGTAATCTAAATCAAGAGAACAGTAAAAAAAAAAAAAAACCCTTGAATAACTTTTAACTAGAAGCACTATGACAAGATTTATATCCTAAATCTATTACTACCATAGGGAGAGTAGTTTGGAAGGGTACATCTTAGTGGCCAGAAGACAAATGGGAGGCTACTATCGCATTCTTGACATGAGATGATTATACTGTAAATAAAAAGAAGTACTTGTGGGACTGGGAAGGTGGCTCAGTGGTAGAGCGCTTGCCTTGCATGCCTGAGGCCCTGGGTTCGATTCCTCAGCACCACATAAGCAAAAAGAAAAAAGCCAGAAGTGGTGCTGTGGCTCAAGTGGTAGAGCGCTAGCCTTGAGCTAAAGAGCTGAGGGACAGTGCCTGCCCAGGTCCAGAGTTCTGGCCCCACAACTGGACCCCCACCTAAAAAAAAAGAAGTACTTGTGTGTGTGTGTTTTTAAACAATCATGCCCAACAGAAGTACTGTTTGTTTTTTTTTAAATTTGCCCTATTAAAAAACACACCAGTAGCCAGGTGCTGGTGGCTAATGCCTGTAATCCTAGCTACTCAGGAGACTGAGACCTAAGGATCACAGTTCAAAGCCAGGCCAGAAAGGAAAGTCCATGAGACTATCTCCAATTAACCACCAGAAAATCACAAGTGGCGCTGTGGCTCAAGTGGTAGAGCACTGGCCTTGAGCTGAAGAGCTCCCAGTTTCAGAGTTCAAGCTACCAATAAACAAAAACAAAACAAAACTAAACAAAAACACTAGTTAAAATTACATGCAATACTAGTTAAAGTTAAAACTACTGAATTAGGACTCATTGTTGTGCAAAAAGAAATGATTATTATCTTCAAATGAGTCACAAGAGCATTTATATTGTATATGATGCCAATAAATCTCTGCTCAGCATCAATCTTTTGTCCTACAGTGAATGGTGAAGATTATGGAACCACTTGACTCACTGGAGACTCCTGGTGTATGGGCTCAGACTCTAGGGTGCTCTGGCCTTCAGCATGTTCATTAAGGTTGGCTGTTTCACTGCTGCTGGTGCTGAGGCTACAATAATCTGTAGCACCATTTACAAGAATGCTGTGTGGGCTACTGCAACAATTTGATTGATTATTAGGATTTTCCAGATCTTTCATTTCCATCAGTCTCATTTGCATCTGTCAATACAAAGTAGAAACAGAAATAGAATTTATTGCTAGAAATATATTTAAAATAAAAATAGCTACAACCCTAGACTTGGGTAAATGGTAAACTTGTTTCTTGCCAGAAGAATCCTCTGGGAACGCAGCATGACTTTAAAAAAGGGGTTCAGTAAACTCTACCAATAAGTTCTCTTGAAATTCCAGTATAATGTATTTGTTTTTGTAAATCTTCTGAAACCTCCAAGAATTTGGATTCAGATGTCTAGGTTAGTGGAGGGAATGATAGCAAAATAAAAAGAAAGGAGAGTCTGTGATTAAGTTTTAAGAGAGATTCAGAAGCTAAAGGAAAATAGAAAAGGCTATGGAATCAGCTATATTCCTGTTGGGAAAGGAAGTCAAGACGAGGGTAAAAACAAATTAGTATCCTAGCTCTGGCACTATTAACTCCCAAAAAACCAACAGCCAGGTGTGGTGGTGCACAACTGATGTGGAATAATCTCAGCATTCAGGACTTTGAGGAAAGATGATCAAGAGTTCAAATCGCCTAGGGAATACATAGCAAAATCATCTGAAGAAAAAAATATCAAAACAAATCAAAAGCAATAATATGAAAAATAATACCTGCCTAGCAAGTATGAGGCCCCAAGTTCAAAACCCCAGTAAAAGGAAGAAAGGAAGAAAGGGAAGGAAAGAAGAAAGGAAGAAAGGGAAGGAAGGAAGGAGGACGAGGAAGGAAGGAAGTAAAGAAGGAAGGAAGGGAGGAATGGAGGGAAGGAAAGAAGGAAGGAGGGAGGGAGGAAGGAAGGGAGGAAGGGAAGGAGGAGAAAACTACCTTGAAGGGCTGGGAAGGTGGCTCAGTGGTAGAGTGCTTGCCTTGCATGCTCAAGGCCCTGGGTTTGATTCCTCAGCACCACATAAGCAAAAAGAAAAAAGCCCGAAGTGGCGCTGTGGCTCAAGTGGTAGAGTGCTAGCCTTGAGCTGAAGAGCTGAGGGACAGCGCCCAGGCCCAGAGTTCAGGCCCCACGACCGGACCCAAAAACAAAACAAAACAAAACAAAAACTACCTTGAAGAATATCATATTCACTCATCTGGTAGCATTCCTACTATGATAACTACTTTGTGTTATCTATATATTGAAGACCTATACTGGAAAAAGAAACATGCTAAATGATAATTTAAAAAACCAGCCAGGCAAATACACAAAAGCAAACAAAAAAAAAAATGTATAAACTTTTATTTAAAAAATGGTCAGTTTTCTGGGGCTAAGAAGCTAATTCTTGTATTACTATAACAGAAGGACAGAGAAATATGACTTTAAGCCATGTCTTGTAAGATAAACAAGTTGTCACCTGCCAGGTAAGATGGAGAGAGGAAACATGAAAGAATTCATTATGTACAATAACTGAGAACCCCAAATGAGTTTTAGAAGACATATTTTAGAAGCTCTTGAAAAGGTTATATAATCAATAACAAATAAACTTCCTTTGCTTCAGTTTGTTCAAATTCACAACGAAAGAAATGGACTATATGAAATCTATGCTCTTATGTAAACATCTCATTTTGATTCTCTATTCTCTATGTAGAAAAGCCTAGACACAAACAAGTAAAGGATCTATATATGGAATCAAACACAATACTCCATATTTACATAATTAAAATAATAAAGATTTCTATACAAGCAAAATTGATTTTAAAGTTAGAATAAGAGTAGATTATTATTTATAAAAGTAAGTGACACTTATCAAGCATTTATGTACCAAATCTTTTCTACAATATTTCATAGGTTTTTGCCCCATTTATCCTCACAACATTCCTAAGACACAGGGGGCACTGATAGCTCCCCATTTTAAGCATGAAGAATCTGACATTGAGATGATTCACCTAGTAAATGGCATACCCAGCATCTAAACCTAGAGCACTTAACTAAAACCCACACTATTATCTACTACTCCAGTGATCAATGATCAACAGAAATACAAAATATGTGACAATTTTAATGAATCTGGCTAAAAGAAATCTAGTTGTATAACAGGACTAAAAATTAAATCATAAATGAAATAGATAAAGCAGTAGGAAGCACTATTATCTAGCAGGCTAGCTGAGCATTTCAGCACACTTTTTGCTTCACTTACTGAACTGATTTCCTGTTGTGAATCATGTAGGTGCTGCTGAAGAGGTTCCAGCTGAGCCTTCCCTGACTCCACACTCTCCTCTAATTCTGCTGTTTCTTGTTGTAGGCGGCTCAGCTCTTCTCTAGCTTTGGCCAGTTCTTCTTCATAAGTAGAGATCTGTGATTCTTGACTAGTTATTTCAGCTTTCAGAGAAGAGATCTGAACATAGGGGTAATGAAAAGAAAGGATAAGGAAAACATCACCACCAAAATGTTAATTTAGTTTACTATTTTAGTATTTTTCTGATGGATTATTTTTGGTCATAAAAGATAAACATGAGGAAGGCAGGAGTATATAGTTGAAGGATAGTTGACAAAAAAGAAAAAAAAAAAAAGGCAGGCACTGATGTCTCAAGCCTATGATCCAGCTATTTAGGAGTCTGAGATCTGAAGATCAAGGTTCAAAGCCAGCCCAAGAACACAAATCCAAGAGACTCTTGTTGTCCAATGATCAGCAAAAAGCTGGAAGTAAAGTTCTGGCTCAAGTAGTACAGTGGCAGTTGTAAATGAAAAAGCTGAGGGGGAGCTAGAGGCCCTGAGGTCAAACCCCAATAATGGTACATACACCAAAATATTCTGGAAATGTTTTCTAAAATATTTTCTAAAATAGTGTCTTTCTATTTCCATTACAGAGAACTTGTAATGTCTGATGAGCATTACGCCTCTAATGTGCCAAATGCTAATAACTAGACTGCCACATAACAATAGAGAATATATTTTCATCTTAAGTGAGGAAAATCAAAGAAGATATACAATAAACAGATTTTACCAGCTGGGCCTCCTCTGCACATTTCTTTCTGACTTCCTTGAGTTGTTCCTCCAGCTGGGCTTTCTGTTCATCTAGTTCTTCAAGGAGTTCCTGTACTTGCTGCTTCTGGGCCTGTAATTTTTGCAGATTAACATTTTCCCTCTGAACTTCATCCTGAAGATCCTGAAATACAACAAAATCAATATATTTATTGTCATTGGGGGCAAGGAGAGGGTAATTTTTCTCTTTTTGGTCATGGGGCTTGAACTCAGGGCCTGGGCATTGTCCGGGATTTTTTTCTTCAAGGCTACTGCTCTACCTCTTGAACCATAGCTCCACTTCTGGGTTTTTGTGGTTTAATAAGACTCTCATGGACTTTCTTGCCTGGGCTGGCTTTGAATTGTGATCCTAAGATGTCAGCCTCCTGATTAGCTAGGATTACAGGTGTAAGGCACCAGTTCCCAGCTAAAGTGAGGGTTATTTTTAAGTGTATCTTAAGAGAAAAAGTCTTGCATTGAATATATCATTTTGGTAGAATACAGCACTCATAGCTTTATGTGATCTTCATTTAATACCTCTTCCAGATTTAGATATTCAATTTGTTTACTAAACTCTGTAGGGGATGTCTGACGGTCTTCTCTAATATGATGAAAATAGAACTCCGGCCATTTTTGTCTACATCTGTTTTAACCTCAATCTTCCTTTTCTTAGTTTCTCTGCTCAAAAAAAAAAAAAAAATAGCATCCTCTTGAACTCTTCCTCTCACATTTCATCTTAAATCTGCCAGCGAATCTGGTATTACTTCCTTCAAGAGATATTAAAAAATGGGCCATGTCTTTTTTTCAATGCTAGTACAAGTTACTTTCATATTGTCTCCTGGACTGCTGCCTTTCAACTAGGAAAACTGTTTCCACTCATACAACCTTTCAATGTGTTTTTAGCATCTTGAGAACTATTTATAATCTATGTCAAATATCTTACATTCTCACTTGTACACAGAAATGAAAACAGTGGACGCACAGAAATAGAACACAGAAGCGATTACCAATCTAGAAGATGGGGGAAAGAAGGGAGGCCTGAGGAGAAAACAGACAATGTGGTACAGCTGGATAAGATAAATACCTGCTAATTTACTCTGTAACATAATAGGAGAAGTATGCCTAACAACAACTACCTGAATGATTAAAAATTAGTGGAGGGAACTCTGCTTGTTCTCAACATGAAGAAATAATGTATCAGAGCTAAAAGATATATTTACCCTAATTTGATCATTGAACATTGTATTTCACACTGTACCCAATAAATATGTATAATTATGATGTATGTGGAAGTAGGAATTGAACTTCAGGCTGTAAGCATGTTAGGCAAGTACTCTATTATTTGAGTTATACTTCCAGCTGAAAATATGTTTAAAAATAAAGTGAAGCCAGGCACTGGTGGCCTGTAATCCTAGCTACTCAGGAGGCTGAGATCTGAAGATCACAGTTCAAAGCCAGCTCGGGCAGGAAAGTCCATGAGAGTCTTATCACCAATAAACCACTGGAAAACCAGAAGTAGCGAAACAAGCAAAAACATCTATATCCAAGCATATCAACTTCTTTGCTCAACACCTTGCATGGACTCTCCATCTCATAAAGACCCAAAGTCCATTACTCTCAAGAATGGTACATTAGTACCACTATGGATACAAAAGAGATGTTAATTGATTACACATATAAGAATTATTAAGGAAATAGGGCTTAATTCTCTTTAGGAGCCTTATGTGGGAAAACAGAAGCAATTAATAACTATAAGTTATCCCTGTAGAAGGTGAGTAGAGATATCAAACAAGGTGAAACAAAGCTTTCCAATATGGTATCTTTTTAATAACATTATTCAAATGTCCCAATAATCATTCATCAAATAAGAATCTAGGAATATTAGAAGAAAAACAGGGCTGGGAAGGTGGCTCAGTGGTAGAGCGCTTGCCTTGTATGCCTGAGGCCCTGGGTTCGATTCCTCAGCACCACATAAGCAAAAAAAAAAAGCCGGAAGTGGTGCTGTGGCTCAAGTGGTAGAGGGCAAGCCTTGAGCTGAAGAGCTGAGGGACAGTACCCAGGCCCAGAGTTCAGGCCCCATGACCAGACCCCCCCCCCCCAAAAAAAAGAAAAACAACAGGTCTCTGAATTGCTGCATGAATTATACAAGAAAAAACATCTTCATAACGGTGAACTGTTGAAACAGCTACAAACGTGTTATATAAGTACTAGGCTCTTAATGCATTCGTAATTCATGTGATACATCTATGAAGAAGGTAATATTTCTACTCACATTTTACAGGTGAGAAACTAATGCACAGATGGGCAATAAGTTGTCCAAAGTTATAAATTAGCAAGTAATGTATTCAAACTAGGTTCTAACTCCAGAGTTTGGGCCCTTAACTACCATACTATATACTGTTGACTAAATGTATTATATACAAGTATCACTATTTTTCAAATATACATAGGTTCTTTTGTGATTACACAAAAATAGAAAACTATAAATTTAATGTAGTTAAATTACTTAAGAGTCACAAACATAGGGAGAACTGAATTAAAGTCTCCCTGATACAAAATTGTTTTTTAAGCTTCTATGAAAACTGGGGACGGGGGGGGGGGTGGGGGGGGGGGAGGGTGGTGAGGGGAGAAATTCACTGTAAGGGTGAATCCTTAAATATTTGTTGAGTACTCAGAAGAAAAATTGTGTAGCAAGATTGTACACAGGCATTTTAAGGCAGGTAAGAATGTGGATCTGCCTTTCTCTTCTTAGAATAAAAAGCCCAAACCATAAACATTTGAGACAAAATGGCCATCCACAACTTTTTCTCTTTGTAACTGGATCATGTTGGGCCTAATTTTTCTGTAGAGCTTGATAAACTAGTAGTGCACCTCATAAAAGCTACCAGTCATCATTTCATGAAATAAAACGATGTCATTTTCAGAAAAAATAAATAAATCTTGGGCTGGGAAAGTGGCTCGGTGGTAGAGTGCTTGCCTTGCATGCATGAGGCCCTGGGTTTGATTCCTTAGCACCACATAAGCAGAAAAAGCTGGAAGTGGAACTGTGGCTCAAGTGGTAGAGTGCTAGCCTTGAGCTGAAGAGCTGAGGGACAGCACCCAGGCCCAGAGTTCAGACCCCAGGACCGATCACAGCCTCCCCACCCCCCAAAAAAATCTTGAACTGAATTTTCAAGATGTGAGTTCATGGGAATACACACAAGAGATGAGATTAGAAATTATGAAAGGAAGTAGATGTTTTATTTTAACTGAATTAGAAAGACTATAAATACAAAGTAAAAATCTCAGCTAGGGGTATATCTCAGTGGTAGAGCATGTGCTTAACACGCACCGAGTCCTGGGTTCATTTATTCCTTAGCACCAGAACAAAATAAAGCCCACAAAAAAAAACAAAAACAAAAAAAACCCGTAAGTCTTCTTGGTTTGGAAAGCTTTTGTGCTTGAGATATAAGCTCATATAGTCACTGTATGTGATTTTTATTAATATGAAGAAAAACAAGAAAACTCATATTAAGCAGGTTAAGCAGCACTGATACTCACTGATAGGCCAAAATGTCTTTACTTCTAGTCCCTAGTGCCTTCATTTTGGCATTCTCATTAGCACCTCTACTAGAAAGTACAGTCACGTCCAGCTTTGGTGGCTCATACCTGTGATCCTGGGTAGTCAGAAGGCTGAGATTGGGAGGGTCATGGTTAGAAGGTAGCCTAGGCAGAAAATTCCATGAATTCTATCTCCAAAATAACCAGCAAAAAATCAGGACTGGAGGCATGGCTCAAGTGAAACAATGCCAGCCAAGCAAGCAAGCAAGCCAAACAAGCACAAAGCCCCAATATCAAACCTCAGTGGTGCCAAGAAAGAAAAAGGGGAGAAAACATAGTCATAAGGAAGCAGGGAGGTATAGTTTCGTTGATTCTGCTAATAGGTGTAATAAACTGCTTTCAATAGTTTTGACTTCCCATGTCGATCACACATTTTAGATTCCACAAAATTTAAGGTACCTTACTATCACAGCTAAGTAAGAACAAATAAATCACTGAGAAATACTGACAACAAAGCTTACATAAGAAACCAAACGTTCAAGGATAACCCACTTAACCTGAAAACAACAATGCAAATCTTTCAGTAAATATTGGCTATTTACATCTCCACCTTAAAAGATGCAGCAGAGAAAAACTAACAGGCAAATGTACTCAACAAAACAGTCTATCACAAGAACATATGTACTTTAAAATAGCAACTGGCTAAATTTAGATGCAGTTCAAGATTATCTATCAGTGACTCTACTTATTTCTTCCAGATTGAAAAACTTTTGTAGATTTTTGTCTTCTTTTTCAAATTATTTCCAGCAATGACTGCTTAAAGTCAATGAGTGTTTTACAATTCTATGAAGGTTTAAAACTACACAAAAACAATGTAATTAAGTAAGTAACCCTCCCACACCTAATCTCATTGCCAGAAAGAAAAAATATATTGGAAATGATTTCTTGTTTTTTCACATCACTTTTAGGAAAATTCCAGTAAATAAATGAAATCATCTGGACACAGAATCAACTACCAAGAAGAAGCCTCACTGGCTTTTTCCTGAATCCTTCAGTAAATCATTCTCCTCACCCTATACTGGATGTACTACATCAAAGCAAAACAATGGGTCTAACAATTTAAGGCTGTTACATTTTTTAAACTACCAGAGAACCCAATATACAAGTTACATATTAAAGGCAGATACCTATCCATGAGCTTTTATTAGCAACTGCTACCAGTGCTTTTACATCCAATTTCCTTTATGTTCTAGAACAGCATTCAGGAAATGGTATGCCAAAAACATGGCCCACATGTATTACTTACTCTCTAAATAAAACACTGTCCAATTTTCTATGTTTTTATAATGTTTGAAACACCTATTTTTTCTTATTTCCAAAATAGAAAAAGGTGTTATTTTTCTACTTGTAAAAGGCAACTATATAATACAGTACTTAATAAAATTGAATTAAATTTCTTTATTAGCATACATTGGTTGTACAAGGGAGGGTTTCAATATGACACTTCCACACATGTATACAATGTCTTCCAATTGAATAAAACCTCTTTATGCCCAAGTTTGAGATATTCTGGGTACTAAGCAATTCATAAAACGTTATTTTAAATTGTTCTGTATCATCTCCTACCATACCAGTATTATGAGAAACAGTCTGAAAATATTAGGTCTCATAAAAATATTTGACATGCATGAAAAAGCAATTTGGTTTTTCATGATAATGATCATATGATCTCAGTTATTTAATTTTAGTGGTATAATAATATGCACATTAAGTTATTCAAAGTTACCTTTAATGATATACTATACAGGTAAATATTAAAATAGCTTCAAAACTTAAAATCCACACTGTAAAATACTGCTTTCTCATTGCAGTATAATTTTTAAAGGCCAGAAATCAAAGCAAGAACATTCATTTTCCAAAAGATAAACATTATATCATACAAACATTAGGTATTGCCTAGACCTAACACCATATCAATCAAGTAGTAAATATATTTAAAATGAATATTCCTAAGTCAGAAAAAGGATAGTATATTTTGTAGTACACTCACCTGAACCTCACTTCTCCTCTGCTTAATAGTATCTTCTTTTTCTTTAAGGTCCTGTTCCACATTATTCTTTTCCCTAGAAGACCAGCAAACAATGCAAGAATATTTGAGAACATCAGCTACAGCTGGTATCGTTATCCATCCTCCTAATCCTGAATCGCTTTTTAAATACATGGTAAAACATTCAATTTTTAAATGAAGGGCAGATTTTTCTACCCTCTTTCAATTATTTATGGAACAGAAATCAATATAAGCTCTGTTTATAAAAAAAAAATTGCTTCCTCACTAAAATGTGGTGAAAAGAGAATAGATTAAAAAAGGAAGAAGAGAAAAATAATCAATGAAACGGTCTGGTTTCACTGATCTCACTGTTGCTATGGAAATATCGTCCAATGAAAACTGCTGCTGAAAAGAAGGAGGAGTTGCATCAGCTCTATGAGCTTAACCCTTAAGAATCACTGCCAAATTAAATGAAAATGGCTAATAGAAACAGTGATCAATATTAAGGAAAAACATTTTCTAAACTGTTAATTTTCCCTCAAATTACCAATGTGTACTAATTTTGAAATGTAACCACATAGAGGAAATGGAAAAGTTGTTAAAATACAAATAATTTGCTCTATAAAATATCAATCTTCTCAAAAAAGCTACTTTGGGAACACCTATCAAACTCAACTGATCAAATATAGACAAGGCATATAATGTAAAAAAACCCCACAATACCATTTATCTCATTAAATCGAACACACTACATTCTATTTTTACCATGAAACAGCATCTAAATTCTTATATGTTTTGATCATGCTATGAATGAATCTCAAATAACTTTGGATTCAGAACTGTAAAAGAAAGCTATTGCATTTGATATAACAAATTTAACAGTCCATGTTTACCAACATCAATTTTCCCCATCCCCCACAGCTCTTTTCCTTTTCTACAGAATAAAAGAAAAAGCCCACAGAATTCTTCCACAAAACACTTTCAGGGTAGTAGAGGTATGGAAAGGTAAAAGATGGCAAAATGGAGAAAAGAGCATAGCATTTAATCAGTCCTTCAGATTAGCATGGCAGTTCACTACTATATTTCAATTTCTATCCTAGATATAACCTAATGTAAGCTTGGGCTCCATTTAGCTCTAGCATAAAGGAAAGTGAAAAATTATACCGGAAGAGATACTTAAGGGACAAACTGATGTTTCATTATATTTCTCACTTTTTTGAAGTTAGATTTTAAGTGCAGACAAAACCAACTGTTTGGATATATAGGCAAAATGATCTTAAGATTTGTATGGAAGAAAACACAAAAACAAAGCAATTTGTCTAATGTTACTTTTCAACACCTGAGATGGCCAAGAAGCTCACTAACCGTTTGTCAGATGGATGGCAATGTGGGTCCCGATGTTGTGGAGATTTTAAACAGTTTCTTACCATGCGAATCATTGTTGCAGCCAGTTCTTCTCATCTCACAAAGTACTTGTTATGCAAAGGCCATCTCCCCACCTCCAACCCTTATCCAATTAAGCAAAATAGAAAAACATAGGGGGAAAATCTGAAAATACCACACAAATTCTGCAAGCTCAATCTTGGAAGTGTTTCCTTTCCTCCTTATGTGAGCAGATGAGTGTTTTCAGTCCTGCTGCAGTATGTCAGAAATAAGTCACATGAAAATCTAGTCCCCTCCCCCTACCCCAAATCCTCATGGGCACTCCTCATAAGGTCAGTACCACTTCAGCTTGGTTTGAGACAGATAATAACAAAAATAGAAAACATTACAAAGTATCATAGATCAGCACAGCACACACTGAGCTGTTCTTTTAACTCCTGTTACTGATAGTGCCTGCTCAAATTAAATGTGTATGTAGGGAAAATAGGACTGCTCTTAAGTGAGCTTACTTAAAAGCAGACAAGACAGAAGAATGGCAAAGCAAAGGGAGGAAATTCACTAGGTGAAAAAAAGCAAACAGTTCACATAGGACTCTGAGCTATAATCAGCACAGTCCTTGTTTGAGTAAAATAAAGGAAACCTGAAGAGTACCAGTTTGTTTTTTTGTTTTTGTTTTTTTGGTCGGTTGTGGGGCTTGAGCTCTTCAGCTCAAGGCTAGCATTCTACCACTTGAGCCACGGTGCCAATTCTGGCTTCTTCTGCTTATGTGGTACCGAGGAACTGAACCCAGGGCCTCATGCATGCAAGGCAAGCACTCTACCACTGAGCCACCTTCCCAGCCTTTTTTTTTTCAGGCATTTATTGATTGATTGATTGATTTGTGTCGGTTGTAAGGCTTGAACTCTGGGCCTGGGTGCTGTCCCTGAGCTCTTCAGCTCAAGGCTAGTACTCTATCACTTGAGCCACAGTGCCACTTCCCAATGTCTGTTTATAATTTAAAGTGTATAGGGTGGAGAAATAGTGAAGAGGTCTTCAAACATACCCTGAGGACCACTATCAACTAAATAAAATACTGGAATCTGAGGACACTTAATTCTTCATAGTATAGAAACCAATTAAATTTAACTTTTAAATTTATTTAGTAAACTAATTTCTGGTCTTGTAATAATTCCTTTTACAAAGAAAACCAAGTATCATAACGTATATTGCTAAACAGAAAAAAAATAAATAAAATGTTCAAGCTGGATTACCAGTGAGTAATGCCTGTAACTCTAGCTACTTATGAGGCTTAGATGTGGAAAATCAAAGTTCAAAGCCAGGCTAGGCAGAAAAATCTGAAAGACTCTATCCAATTAACCAATAAAATGTTGGACTGGAACTCTAGGCCTGGGCACTGACCCTGAGCTCTTCAGCTCAAGGTGAGCACTCTACCACTTCCAGTTTTCTGATGGTGAATTGGAGATGAGTCTCATGGACTTTCTTGCCCAGGCTGGCTTTGAACTGCCATACTCAGATCTCAGCCTCCTGAGATTATATGCATGAGCCACTGGTGCCTGGCTCATCATTTTCTATAAAGTAAATATGACTGAAACCTAGCCTGTGAATCAGACTGAAAAATCAAATAATTTCCTCATTGTTTTAGATTATAATGGCAGAGGCACCAAATTGTTATTTTGTTGTCTTGTAATGGCTCTTTAAAAATTTTTTTATTGTTATTATAAAGATGATGTACAGTTACACAGGTTTGGTAAAGAGTACATTTCTTTTTGGACAATATCATCCCTTCCCTTTCTCTCTCCAAGTTTTTCCCTCCCATCCCCACCTACAAGTTGTATAGTTCCATTTTCAACATAGTGTTCACTGAGTACCATTGTTTAACCTTTGTCTCTCCATTTCTGTTTCCCCTTACACCCTCAAACACAATGAATAGAACGAAAAGAAAACAAAATCAGCAAGAAAGAAAAAAAAATCTTGTTTCCATTTCCTGGAGTTCATTTTGATAAATATTATTTTGTATGATCAGAGGCACACAGACATTGTACCTTTCTGTTCCACTCCTAAAAGTATCCATCTACTTTTGGTCTCACTGTGTGTGAATGCCTATAGACCTATATAATTTATTATATCTTGGTGTCTGTAATGGCTCTTAACTTCTGTAACTATTGTCTCATTTACAAATAAACATATATATATATATATATATTTTGGTCGGTCATGGGGCCTAAACTCTGGGCCTGGGCTCTGTCCTTCAGCTCTTCAGCTCAAGGCTAGTGCGAGAAAGTGTCACTTCTGGCTTTTTCTGCTTACGTGGTGCTAAGGAATCAAACCCAGGGCCTCAGACATGCAAGGCAAGCACTCTACTACTGAACCACCTTCCCAGCCCCAAATAAAAATATTTAAACATACATTTAGGTGCATTAAAAAACTGCTTGTTCTTATATCTTGTCCTTTTAGCTCTTGTTTTGAACAGCATATTTTTTTTTCAAAGTTGATGCATTCATAGTGTATATAAAGCATTTTTTTTTTTCTTCAGTCATGGGGCTTAAAATCTGGGCCTGGGCGCTGTTTCTGAGCTCTTCAGTTCAAGGCTAGCGCTCTACCACTTGAGCCACAGCACTACTTCCGGCCTTTTCTATTTATATGGTGCTGAGGAATCAAACCCAGGGCCTCATGCATCCAAGGCAAGCACTCTATCACTGAGCCACCTTGCCAGCATTGTATTTAATAGTAGTCAACTTAAAAACTTTTCAAGAGGGCTGGGAAGGTGGCTCAGTGGTAGAGCACTTGCCTTGCATGCCTGAGGCCCTGGGTTCGATTCCTCAGCACCACATAAGCAAAAAGAAAAAAGCCGGAAGTGGCACTGTGGCTCAAGTGGTAGAGCGCTAGCCTTGAGCTGAAGAGCTGAGGGACAGCGCCCAGGCCCAGAGTTCTGGCCCCACAACTGGACTCCAAAAAAAAAAAAAAAAACTTTTCAAGAGTCTGTCATAATAAAAAGTTATGCCTTTTTCTAAAGGTAGTATTAATAGTACTGTATTTAGTTAACTTATTTTTTTCTAAAGGTAATATATTCAAAGCACTGTACTCAGCTAACTTGAAAACTTTTTTTTTTAATTCTTTTTTTTCTTCTTCTTCTTCTTCTTTTTTTTTTTATTTGGGTCCGGTTGTGGGGGCTGAACTCTGGGCCTGGGCGCTGTCCCTCAGCTCTTCAGCTCAAGGCTAGCATGCTACCACTTGAGCCATAGCACCACTTCTGGCTTTTTTTTTTCTGCTAATGTGGTGCTGAGGAATCGAACCCAGGGCCTCATGCATGCAAGGCAAGTGCTCTTCCACTGAGCCACCTTCCCAGCCCCTAACTTGAAAACTTTTAAAGAGTTTATAATCATAATAAAAATTGGGATTTATATTCAGCTTCTCAAGGAATAATATGGATAGGACAGAAATACTATGGATATACAATCATTTTGCCCAAATTACCACTCATCTTGGATGTCATAACAGGAAAAACTTCATCTTAGTAATTCCCCAAAACGAAATGATTCTAATCATCATCTATTTTAGATGATCTCTCTGGCTTTATTTATTCCTATGATACTTGCACATCCTGAAGAATCCATAAGGGCCAAAGCTACATAGAGAAGCAGGAATGAAGTTTCCTGGTATTAAAAGGCCAATAGCTCTGATTCCACATAGCCT